ATATATAGCCTCTATCGGTTGAAGAATTAAGTTGTCAAAAAACCTCGTGTTGGTTAGTGCTTTCAGAAAAGAGCCCTTCAGTTCACAGTGCCTCAACGAAGAGCCAGCGCTACATGTGTTGTCTTTGAATTACGAGCTCGAATCGGAAATTGTTGACTCGTCCTTCTATGTTGTCTTGTTCTGAACTTTTTAGCGTGTACCAAGTGTCCTGCGAGTGTCCAATAAAGGCATCTTGAGGTCTAGTCCAGTAAAGGCCTGTCTATCAGGCTACCTGATTTTTACCCCAAACAGGTGCCAACATTTTACCAGGTGAGTCCAACCACATTTCAAATAAATCTTAGTGCTCAAAACTAAACCTTTGAATACAACAGATGTATGTATCTTCGTTAATCAGTACTTGATAATCGATCAAATATTGGCTACGCCAGCTTAGTTCCAATTAGGCATTGTAGCTGATTACTGTTACGGCATGTTATATTAAATTATCAAAAGGAAACTGCGGGCATGACCCCCAACTAGAATTTCAGAGATTCTACTAAAGACACCACTCACTGTTGTTAGTTCTTTTTCGCATACCGTCAAAAAGCGCAACGTTTTTCGGACACATTCAATGAAGTGGAGGGGAAATGCGTGGGGTTGTTGTCGGGTGGCTTTGTTTTTCGGTCACACGCTAAATTGACCACAGCTGAACGGTATATCATCTATGGCTACCGAATCGGACCTTCAGATATGAAATCTTTTTTTTTTTATAGAGATGGCTCAAACGCATTCCGTTTCAGTAACTAAAATGTATCATATATATTTGTGGTGCCAGCAGATGAAAGGTTATTTCTAAAAACGTGAAACAATACATTTTCAGGGTCTAATTTTAAGCCGAAGTGTTCGTACCCATGACTGTATCGTTTATTTATTAACTGATAAATAAATGGGTTTAAACCCGGCGTATGTGTTCATGACTTTTATGGTGTTTCGAAAGCAGGGTAGTGGTGCTTTAGGCACTACTATTCCAACGGTATAACTCGGACAAGTTTTGATTACTAATTATTATAATGAATGAAGCTTACGAATAGGAGAAATGGCGCTCGTCGAGTAATTCTCATTGACCTGAAGCAAGGTCATCTGCTTATTTTGATGTATTTATAAAATGTACACAAACATATATCTAGGGAAAATAACAGCACGATCGGTAAGTAAATTCAAGAGATAATACACATCTAGTCGCGGCATCCCAGTAGCAGTAATAACATTATAGAACTAATATGTTAATAAAAGAAACCCATGTCCAGATAGACATATCTATCTACATATATATATATATATAGCTATGTCTTTCTCTACTGAACGAGAACAAATATAGATATTGCTACGAAATTGTTTACATATATTAGAAGTTATCATTTCTGTTGAGTATAATTACTGTTCGCAACAATTGCAGCTTCAGTTTGGGTTCCGAAATAAGTTACTAGTCGTTTTTAAAAAATTTCTCCTTTTTTCAGCAAATATTTTTTTTTGTTAAATGTTAACTCGCAGGCCAGAAGTCCTATGATGCAGTGGCTCAAAATGTTTGCCCACGCTTGGATATTTGACCCTGTCTAATATATGTATCGGTCGATCCTGTATCCGATACGAGTTAACCGGAGAACATATAGTAACGAAGTTCAGACTATGACGAGTAAATCACTTCTTGCCTTGCGGCATACCTTGGGCCCCTACAAAATTTTTAGACCATCTCCTTTTCAATTATACCTGTCCCTAATGCTACTTTTCGTGACTCGGTTTTTTTTTTTTCGAGCGGTGTCGCCTTCTCGTCGTTGTTAGCTGATTATGTAAGTATATATAATATATTTGGCTACACGGTATTTTGTTCGTTGGCTACATAGCTGATACCCCGTTATAAATAGTGCATCGGGCTCTGAATCATTTCTCAGCTTTAAAGAATCTTTTAATGTTCAAGAAAGTACTTCCATTCGTACATTCGATATTTGTTACCATTTATTCTAGCGCCAATCAATGCAATCAGATGCGTGTTTGGCATTGCATCTATCAGTAAAAGTGCCTTATAAGGGACCGCTGTGCGTCGATTCGATTGCAGCTTTAAGAAGAGCATAAACATTGGCAACAAACAAGATCCGGTTTATTTATGGTACCCCCATAAAATAATGGTTTTTTATTTACAAAGACAGTTACCCAACAACAAACTAAAGAATAAAGTATATAACTAAATATGATTAATAGTATCTTCTGCTAAATATTAATAGTAATTCAATTGTAGTGTTCTTACACTTCGTCTATCATAAATGGACCCTCTGTTGTCGATGATTGGAATTAACTTATTCCTTCAAAGATCACTTTGAACGACTTGGAAAACTATATATATATCTATATATATATATATATATATATATATATATAGATATATATAGCTTTCTGGTATGTGAGCCACCATGTGAGCTGGTTCATCACAGTTTTATATAAATAATTTTAGAATGTTTTATCTAAATTTGAAGCCATAAAATCCGTTTGCTTGGTCCATTCAACAGCTGAATAGCATCCACGTATGCTAATCTTATATTTTTATCGTATTCCGACGATGGTGCTAAAAGGACCCAAAGTTACTTTACTACAGCGTCAGCCATATATTGGCGTTTAAAGCTCCATGAAGAGCATGTAATATCGTAAAAACGTTAAGAAAAGAAAAACACTTTAAGAAACGCAGGAACAAAGCGGCCATCATTCATTCTGATGACTCACTTTGGTAGATCCGTGGTCAAATTGGGCATGATGCGGTCAATCAATAACTATCTACGCTTATGTTTTACTTTTTGTAACCGTTAGTTATTGAACGCAGCTTACTGCATTTATCTCTTAGCTATTTCTTTCGCTCCCCCTCGCCATCTCTGCTTTGTCTATACAAAAACGTCACCAGCCTTTTTCTTTTTTGCCTCCATTTGAGCTTTAAAATGCAGAACATCCGCATTTCGGGTAACTTCCGGTGGCTATAAGTGTTGTGTTTATCCGAAAGAGAATGCACGCTGCAACAGAGTCATTTTACGAAATTAGCTCTGGCTAAAAATACCTAAATATAACCTAAACGATGTACTTAGGCTAGGTTATATTCGAGATTATGACACTTGAAAAATGTGGTAATTGCAAAAGTGAGAAGCTAAGCAACAAAATGGTACCCGCCCCACTTGGTGATGTGCTTTCAGTGCGTGGTCGTACGCATAATATGGGCCCAAAGAAGAACGCTTCATATGAGGTTAATGTTATGTAGCTCTACGTTTTTTAAATGGTGTCCAGAAAACCGTTTTATTCGTCTAACCAATGTATTTCCTTTTGACATTGTTATTACTGACTACAAACGCACAGGAAGAAAAGCAGATAGATCTTCTCTACAATGAGGTTAAAATTGCGTCTCTTCATTTCGACAGCAGTCGTTGTCTTAGTCGTAGTTTCGCCATTAGCACTACAGGCGCCTGCTGTCAGCATGTCGAGCAGTCAAGCGGCCATAAGCGGCGATTCTGTTGACAGCGTACGCACATTAGCTGCACCGAAGCGTCCACATCGTCTAGTATTCAAGCCCGATAGAATCACGTTCTCTGATGAGCTTCCACCGATAGATTCATCACCAGTGAAAACGAGCGTTGAAAGCTCGCCAAGCGACGTTCCCGAGTTCAACGTGAACGGGGTCGACAACGACATTTTGGAAAAGCTTAAAACGCATGGCCTCAATTATGACAAGGAATCAAGAAGCAAAAAGAAAAAAAACATCATCGTCATACTTGCCGACGATTTGGTAAGTACATACACTAAAAACAATATTATAATTGATTCGTCGAGCAGGAACTGCTGTCCTCGTTATTAGCCAGCACGCCGCCGTAGTACAAGCATGTCAAAAAGTATTAATAGGCAAGAAAGACAAACTGCCCCTACATTTAGCTAGTACATGTTAATATTAAAGAATAATTGTTTTATTTTATGACTCCTTTCGCTAAGATTTACTAATAGCTAAATTCACTGTTGCTGCCCTTTTGTATGAATTGCTGTTTTTGTGGTTCTTATAATAGGCGCAAGTTGTAGATAGTCTTTGACTTGAATTGTAGCCCCGCTCACAATGATTTAAATATCTAGGGTTGGGACGACGTTTCGTTTCATGGATCATCACAGATTCCGACTCCTAACCTGGATGCCCTAGCCTCTTCCGGGGTCATCCTCAATCAACATTACGCTCAACCGATGTGTACTCCTTCCAGAAGCGCCCTAATGACTGGCTTATATCCGTATCGTACAGGTATGCTTCTCGAATTCTAACCATTGAAATTTATCTGCAGGTTGATTTATTATTTTACCTTGACAGTTCCAAAATCCGCTTACGCGCTGCGCGTGGTCGCTTGCCCCTTCGTTTCCTTCCGCATACATCACTATACGAACGAAGCACTCATACGATGAGAGCGTTCAATGGCCAACAAAACTTGTTTAGACAGACCTACAAAGATTCAGTAGTGATAGTAGATAGTCGGCTTTAGCTTTGGAACATTTTACTTCAACTATTGTACACTTCAGATGGTAAGCAATAGTTGTAAGGCGCTGAAAAAAAGCGTAAGCGGTTAAAATCGTACAGATATGAAGCAAACCTTTTTGTGCGGAACAACGCACGTATGTTCAACGCTACGCTGCCGTTATTATATTACTCTGGTTCTGTTGCAAACAAAGTTTCATTTATATAGGATTCAATTCCGTACCTTCTCAAAAAGTTCCTACATAAAATTGTTTCACATTTTCAAAGCATGTTTCAATTTGCACGTTCCGTGCTGAATCTGTACATGCCCCACTGTCAAGCTTTTGGCTCGAAAAGAACAGTGTAACCAAAAATATATCCGTCGATATTCGGTTACGACGGCAGTGAAAGATATGAGGAACAAACGCTTCATTCCATCTGCACGATTTCATGATACACGTCGTGCGCTTCGATGTGCTTTGCAAGCAGTATGTGTACGTAACGTAAACCGTCAATTGGCTAAGTACTGCCATCTAGTGGAGCATATCATTATGACACATTCCATAGAAATATCATTGTTCCTGTTGCACAAACGGGCTTAGAGTTTTTGGTACGGATTTCATAATTCAGAATAAAAACCTGCGTATGCCTACTAAACCTATAGACATTGTCGACAGTTCTACTGCTATCTAAGTTAGTCTATTTAACGCAAGTCTATCTACACAAGTTAAGCTATTTATGTAGTTAGTGAGTTTATTTGAAAAAAAAAAAAAGTGAACAATTTATGAGACGGATGAGCGTACCTTGTGCCTCCTTGTGATAGAAATGGCATGATGAATCTGCTTTTCCCTGTAAATGCTGGTGTGGATAAGAAGTATGTTCGGTCCCCCAACAGCATACAAAGCTAACAAACGTCTCTTTTTTCTAAATTCCGCAGCTCTAAAGGGAACCTTTAAAATGCATATAGTGGATCGCAGATCTATGTACCTACATTATGTGATTACTACACTGCATACACATTTAGCTGGAAGTTCTAAAAACCTAAATCATACAATGTAAGACCCCTTAACGATAGGCTGTGGCATAGTACATAGTGTAACAACCATTGCAGCAACGAAAACGATCTTATATGCCCATGAAACTAATAAGATGTCGCTGCTATTTGCTTAACTAGAACTAAGTTTAATCGAGAAAATAAACTGTGAAGAGTTAAAGTTACGGAGTGTATAGTAAAATTAGATAAAGGGCAACACGTTAAATCTATTAATGGGTGTCACTTTCATTAGATCAGACCCATTTTTGTTATCAGTTTGTTAAAGTTTTCCACTATTAACAACACCGCCTTGCTATATGAACATAACGCTTCAACATAACGTTTACTTTTTAAAGTTTTCGATGGCAAGGGATGCAGGCAAAGAAGTCGGCTTCTCAGTGTGAACAATGTCTACGAATACCATAATCGACCATCTTTTAAAGAAGTGACTGAAGCCTTCTTTTCCATTCACCCGCTGTTTTGCTATAAAATAATGTGTATAGACCAATAACACCGTTCATTGGACAGAAAAATTTAAAGGTTGTTTTAATCGAGGTATTCGCTGGAGCGAGACAATACGTTTAACGATAGCTGTCAGCCTACGCGCAGGGGCAGATCAGTGACTTCACGATACTTCAAACATCCAAAAAAACATGAGAGCTAAACAATCTTCATATTGCATGCAAATAATTATGGTGTTAATTCTTATTGACGGAACATTAGTGCTAGATTTCTCGAACCTAGAATGCTCTCGTTTTTTTTTTTTAAAAAATATATACATAGGTATGGTTTGTAACATATTGACAGTGATGTGTTTTTAGCTAGCTACTCAGGTGTCGCATAAATTCGCCGCTTGACCTACAAGTCCTACTTCTTGCGGTCGAACGGAAGTAGAAATCCGAGAAGAATCGAAATGATAATTGGTAATACCTACCACCTGCTCAAATAGAAACTCAATAGATGATATTACAAATATAATTTCTATTTCTCGTTATTGAGTTAGATGCAGAACGGTACAGTGACAAGATCCTCAGAAAATGTCGTCGTCAAACAGTACCTTCAATATTAACCCTTCAATACATTTTTAGAGGCACTACTACAACTGGCTCAAATCTGCTTTATTAAAATTAACTTTACACAAAAGCGAATATTATATTTGAACTCTAAAGAGATAATACGCTAATATAGTTGGTTAATGTACAAAGAAGTACCTTTCCTACTTATAGGAAAGAAATAGGCATGGAAAAGTTGGACATTACAAATAGCAACCGGCACTTAGAGGTTTTTCTAAAACATCTTTTTCCATCATTGCCGTAGGAATGCAAAATTACGTTATTCGGACGGGTGAGCCATGGGGACTGCCCCTTGACCTAGAATTGCTTCCTCAATATTTGAAGAAACTTGGTTACTCAACGCACGCTGTAGGGAAATGGCACCTAGGCATGTTCAACGATGCCTATTTGCCGCTTCAACGAGGATTCGATACCTTCTTGGGATATACCAATGGATTCATTGATTACTACAACCACAAGCATCTTACAAAGGTAAATGATAATCGGTTTGAGAGGAATCGTTAAGGTTTGTATTAAAAATTCTTTAGGGTGTTACGGCATACTTTTATTTTTTTTGCTCAAGGAGAGAAACAGGGCGTATTTTGCCTGATATAGACTGAGGAAAAGGCCAGGTAACATTCTTCTCTTCCGGTGCTAGTCGTTATCGGTACTCTATTACCCATGGGGCCTGGATAGGCAAAGTTTTTTTTAATTTTGTTTAATTGTTTTAATCTTTTTTTTTCGGCCCATATCATTCAACTTGTATTTGTGAAGTATTTTAGAAAAACCAAAGACACCAGAACACAGGCAGACAAAGGTAGGCCGCGTAGGTATACAATGTAAGCCTGGATGCGCCCCAACGCATAATCAACCATATTAGTAAGTGGTTTGACCATTTAGCGCATTTTGCGCTTTGGAGAAATATTAATATTTTCTGCCATTTATGCTGGTATTTTGCTCTGCATAAACTTTTTTATGCAGAGTTCTCTCTGAAGCACTATTGTTCGTCAAGAAGCTATATAGATTCCACAGCCCAGTGAGGCTAGTATCTTAGAAATCTAGGGTCTTTTACTGGAAACGACAAGACGCTAAGTATTTATTAGCTAACTCAGATCGAAAAGTAGATACAAATGATAAGATACAACAGTTGTGGTAAACGAATCAAGCCTGCAATTTCAGGCTAATTAACTTCTGATACCTCGCAATAGGATAGCAGGTTGGACTCTGGTGATCATTTCGGATACGATACGTGGCTTGTGTTCGTGCTGTTTAAAGCGTATTTTTGTATTTTCGGTTCTACTATTTAATTACACAGCCTTATTAATTTCATTCAGGACAATAACAAAGTTATATATACAGCAGTTTGTTGGTTTTCTCTCTTACAGAAAGGGGTGGGTGGTATTGACTTTTTTGATGGTAACACGCCTCGCAACGTGCCTGGATATGCTACTGATGTTTTCACGAATAGATCACTGGAGATTATAGCTAACCAGACCGAATACAGCCCTCCAATGTTTCTCTATTTAGCACATCTAGCACCGCATCGAGCGACTGAACACGAGCCCTTTCAGGTACAAGTCACAAAAGCCTTTTTTGAATTTCTGATACATAGCGATTATATCTACTAACACAAAATAAATATGTCGACCGCTCAAGCCGACCGACAAAAGATCGGCCATAGTAATAGAGACGTCCATTAGCTATTACAGTATTCCTGTAGCAACAGAAAACCTTGTTTTGTCAATAAAAAATAGTGCCTATATGCGCCACCGTTTGACCGGGTTCCACATATAAAAACAAAAACCTATTCGCTGTCACAAACTTAATAGAATAGAACAATAGGGAAATTAACAGAATTGGGAGCGCCGACACGATCAACGTCGTTCGACAAGCTATGCGTCATATGACATAATCATCATTGATCATCATCATCATCATTGATGAGAGTTGTCCTATTATGCTTAGGCACCAGAAGCAACTGTCAAAGAATTCGAAGATTATATACATGTACGCAATCGTACAAAGTACGCAGCCATGGTTGCTGAACTGGACCGTTCTGTCGGAAGAATTGTGCGGGCTCTACAGGACAAAGGCATTCTTAAGGACACGTTGATCGTTTTCTCGTCAGACAACGGTGGACAGAACATTGGAACTCTTAGCAATGTCGGTTCGTAGAATTTGTTTTGTCTATATGAGATCACATTCGTATATCTGATTTTCGCTTGATATTAAGGTAGAGCAAAGTTTTTAAAAAACTTACCGAGCGAATGAACTCTAATCACCGGAATCGTCCAAAAATTACATTAATTTCAAGATAAATTTGCTCCGATCTTCTCTATCTTGTGAAAGCAGTGGACATTTGATATGCACACATTTTTCTAATCAGGTATATTCGCCGGTATAATTATAAAAAATCTTTTTCTCCTAGTCAATAGAAACCTTTTCAACCCTTAGATGGAGTTTTTGGAGATGTCTGTTTACGAAAAAGGTGCTAGGATACAGAAAACCTGAGTGTACCAAATAGAACGATATTAAATGTCATGAGCTTGTTCTGTATTTCTAGATTAAACTAGCAAGTCAATCCAGGATAATGTTATACTATTAAGAACCATAGCAATAGTTGTTGCCCTATTCGTATCGACTTACTCTCTTCATTAACATCAAGCCAATGGGCATAAATCTCGGCAGAAGTATATGCCCCACCATAAAACTTGAAACATCTTAACTTAAAGTTCCGTAAAATAGACAATAAGAGCAATGTCTCCAGTGCTTCTAATTGAGTTGCAATTGCATATTTGTTAAAAGTAGACCAAGGGGTTGAAAAGGATTCTACATCAAAAAACTGCAAAAGAGTTGATGATTTGTTGTTTATTACTAAAGCCGCGATTACGACTGGCAGTAAGTACGCCCATAGAATGAGAAACCACTGTTGCCGTGGCATATAGAGAAGGGGGGATCTGAACATTGTCGAACATTGACGGGCTGTTTGTCGCAGTGGCCATACGTCCCTTCACTGCCAGTTTTTTCTAAAATAAAGGAACAAATTCATCATGGCACAAAATAACGCGTCGTCCTTGTAATTTGATGGAAGACCAGCAATTATCTAATATTTTATATGACTACGCGTCTGCAGAGAAAGCAAAAACAAGTTCTAACAAAGCATAGAGGAAAATCTCTTTTTTAATCAGGATATTAGCGAAAAAAACGATAATAGTAGGCGCGCCGTGTTACGGTCACTAAGACTTTAGGTGCATATAATATGTTGTGGTAGTTAAGTAGATGCTTTCTGAGGCCAATAAAGCCAAGAGGTTTTAGTTATCTCAACGATTCTTCGATTCAGTCGATTTTTCTTTCTGAGAAGGAAATATTCATCATAGACACACAAATTAGCTGTAGAAATGATCGCTGACTTGTTCAGACGACACGGGTAAAAACACATTCCGGGCCGATATGTGCTCTGAGTACGTATGGTATCTGGGATCTTTTTTCCAGAAAGGCGAGCGCATTGATAGTTGTTTGCATGTTCTACAATAGGGTTGTGTAACCATGGATAACTATGTATTCAAGGTAAGGCCGTACGCCTTCCTGCAAAATGGTACAGTGGTACAAAATGGTAGCTCCGATACATCGCACAGTGCGGAACTGGCTGTTTGAGACTATAAACGTATTCGGCGACGGCCGCCGAACAGCCCACATTAGAACCCGTTATATTATTATGTATGGGCTATTAAGTGAGAGTCCGACAAGTCTAGACATGACAACGTTGACCCGCGGACTAACAATTGCAAGATAACTGCAATAGGAACATTTGAAACGATCTGTGAGCGGTTTAGATCCCGAATTGGAGCTGTAATAGCAGTGAATCATGATTGTAAGAAACATGCACAATTGCCAGAAATGAGAAATAAGTTTGTCAAGAAACCTGTTTTTGCTAAAGTGCAGTCTTAAAAAAAAACCATTAAACAATTTCCAGTTAAAATGCCCCACCCTGTGCAGGTACTATGCACTAAGTGTATTGAATACCGACAACACTGTTAAGTCAATTAATAGTTAGCATTATCATACTATTTTATGTTCAGGTTCAAACTGGCCCTTGAGAGGGGCGAAGCAGACGTTATTCGAAGGTGGAACGCGGGTGGCGGCATTTACATGGAGCGCTGACCTGATAAAACCACGTCGTATTGAGCATGGATTAATGCACCTCGTTGACTGGTTACCGACCTTCGTGCGATATGCCGGTCTGCAACAAACCCATTTATGGATTTTCCGTACCCCAACAATATGCTATTTAACTTCTTTAATGTTTTTGTTAAGTAATCCCATATAGGCTTCTGTTTAATATACTAATGATGAAATGCATATATTTTCGGCTAACCACTTCAACCTATTAGACAAGACTTATTCAGGAAAACTTTACACAATATGTTAGTTAAAGACATTGTTTGTTACCTAAATCAATTTGTTTTATCATAGATGAGTAAAGTTGACATTTGAGGTATTTAACGTTCCGCGTAGTCTCCAGCATAGGTATTCCATTTTACGACTTACATCCCAATTTATATAATCATTAGAGTTGTCCATTCGTTATCCTTACATAGGCATATGCTCATAGACACTTCCATCAAGAATACTATTATTACCAACAACCATTATATGGAACAACTTGCAAAATATAGGCGGAGATCCTGCATCGCTTGGGAAATTGGACGGTGTCGACCAATGGGAGATGATTTCAAAAGGAGCGCCCTCAAATCGTCAGGAAGTCATCTACAATATTAACTATGTAGATCAGTCGGCTGCCATCCGAGACAACCGTTTCAAGCTAATAGTTGGTAAGCGCCGCTAATTACTACTGTATAAGCAGTCGACGGTAAATATTTATAGCTGCGTGTGTGAAATCTACATGCAGTGTTTCTGGCGTATTTTGCTTGAAATAATGATAGCTATCATAGGAAACGATTTGACTTGCCGCTAGCCTCATCATGACCATTTATATATATATATATATAGGGCACTGGCGAGCTGCATGCGGTTATTCGCTATTCTTGGCGCCAGAAAAAGGCCAGTTTTTCTAGAACAAAACAATAGGACTCATTATGGCAAAATATAGTTTGTCGTTAATTGTTTTTCAGATTTTGAATGAAGAACCGCTATGTTTACGTGTAACGAACTTCCAACCAGATTAAAAACTTTCATTTTCGCCTAAAATGGGCGGTCTACGTTATTCCCAGTTTTTATGTGGCGTCTGAAAAACCCGGGAAGGATCTTCAAAGGTCAAACTGAAAGGTCCCCAACAGAGTTTAGCTTTAAAGGGCTCGAAAATTCGTGAAAAAGATTCAAAAAGCTTTTTTTGGGCCCACCTGGATCTTTTAGATAGAAATCAGTTGCCCTTGGAATATTAATTGCCGGTCGTGTCGTCGTTCAGATAAACTCCAATGGACAGTCTTTTCAAGATTTTCTGTACCTTTTTCTGTACTTACTTGTTGTGTTGGGCATTTTTAAAGCCTTTGTTCTGCTATCAGACCAATTTTTAGCTCCGCTGGAATTGTTTATATGCCGCGCATTTGAGTGACACTACTGTGAGTTTAAACCTGCTAATATCGCTTGACGCATGATTGTTTCCTTTGCGGAACAGAGGAGGAATATTTTGAAAGTCACTACTAAATGCTTTGGGTGCTGAATTGAAGACGTAATGGACAGTTGACCGTCAGTAAGGGCGTTTTGAACACATGTAAAATATTTTGCTGAAATATGAGTTCTCGCTTAGCCGTAAGCTCTGAAGCTAATCAAAAGAAAAAATTCGGATTTAGATGTCCTACAGTGTACCTGATTGACTGTCGTTATTAAACTTGATTGTTGTACCCTTTACATAAATTATTCAACTCTACGCAGATTCATGGCGCCAGCTAGGCCAGCGGTCTCTGAGCTCGCGGGTCCAAGGACAATGTCCTTCAGCCTATTGCGATGTCTCTTACGCATACGTGCATACTATATAACAGATGCATAAACTAGCTAGCTATATTAGAAATATGTATGTTCATAGAGGTTATACATCATTCCGTTTCATAGTGTATATGTATATTGTAAGCTTTAGTTTGCATGGTTTAATCTCTGTGTCGATTAGTTTACTTTGACTTGTCATCTACGAGTCAGAAGAATAACTGTTTGCTTCTCATACCGGATTGTAGACCATAACCGTTTTGGTGTATTAGAATTATATTACCTCGAAATTTTTTTTCGATAACACAAACCTGATTGCCTACGTATTGCGATAAAAACTTTCGTTACTTAACTTTTTTTGAGTGAACCTTCTACTGGGCTGCCTGAAGCTTGAGCGGGTGCACATTTTCTTTCTATGTAACATGTACACCCATTCAGTTCCACTCTGCTATACTGGCTCGATTCCTTCCCTCTATGAAAAAATATCCAGCAAACACCGCCTAAACTTTGCTAGTCGCTTCTGTAGTTTCTTACCTTGCAAAATTCCTTCACGTCTTAATAATCTTCTTTGCTCCTTTTCCACGGATTTGTCTGAATTGACCCGCATGGTCTTCGCGTCTACTAGCTAGCGCAACACCCGTTTCTTGCATGCCCAATCATTCGCTTCTTCGTTCGCTTGCTAACTTGCTTGCCCCTAATAGCGAATAAGGGCTTCCGCACATGCCGTAAACGACGGCAACGCCCTCAGCCAAAGAGGACACAACAACTCAATGGCATGGTCGACTATCCTCAAGGTCCGGCAAATGGATCGGCAGTATTGAATGGATGGTTCCCCACGTTGGGGTACGGTGGGCCTATGGGCCTTATAACGCTCGAAAAAATGATGGAGGAATCGGTCGTCGCAAAGGCGCTTCATGAAGCTGACTTGTGGTGGAAGAAAAAGGTTAGTCATCAAGCAGTGTTTTGGAAAGCTTTTAACTTAGTTAGAGTACTGCCCGTGACCTCTGCTAGTTGTAATAATAAAATATGTTTCTGTACTATTATAAAATAATTTTGTTTTTTTTTTTGCTTAGGCTTAGTCGATTTCTTAATAGGGTAGAAATGGTTGTCCCTCTGCAGCAAAGTTGGATATTACGGTCGAATTCTAAAACTAAACGTTTTATGTTTAATCGGTAAGTAAACAGCAATCACTTGGCAATTATTTTCTAATTCCATGAATTAAATTTGCCGAACGACGCGACTCAAAATCGCATCTTTAATAAAAACGTAATATTTCGATGCTCCTGATTCACGAGCCGGAAAAGAGAGAGCAGACAGGAAGTTTTCACTTTTCAAGTTATGTGCCATACTTTTTCTTACTAGAGAAAAAAGTTACTAATTTACTTTATTATATCTTATCAACTAATATGGACTTTATTATTTACGTGTTAGATAATTGGCATGGAATAATAATTGCAATATGAAAAATGTATCAAAGATTGATTTTTTACACAAATATATCGACACTTGAGGTTTGATTTCTGATTTACTTTTAGCACAACTGCAACCAGTACCATTTGAAGATAAATGAAATAGGTCTAGCCACCTTACATTTGTCATTCACACATATAATGTAAAAGTTAGACTGAACGTAGTCGTACTTTGCGTAATTGTGCCGTTGAGCAGGAACAATCGTCAGGAGCGCCTCTATCTGATAGGAACGAATCGCTATCGCAGCGATGGTACTCTCCGAGCTGGTCTTGGAGGGAAGAGAGTCGTCTGCTGTGTGGGTCACCTGAAGCTCACACATCATGCGAGCCCTCCCACACCGTGTGTTTGTTCGATCTACAGAGTGATCCCTGTGAAATGAATAATATTTTCGAGCAACATATTGATGTAAGTGAAACCACTCATTAACATTCTTCGTATGCGTACGTACCATTATTATATTTCTATCATACCCGAGCGATATGAATCAGTCTAAAAGACGTATTGTTTTCTTATCAATCGCTCGTTTGGCGAATCAAGTTCGAATTGGTTTTGACACCGATTCGATTTTATTTGCTTTAAAAAATATCCAATTTGATTGGTGGAAAGGTGAAAATTACAGATACACTAGCCACCTGGTAGCTGGCTTACTATCGTAGTTCAATTTCCTTACGTATCATTGCAGATCGCGGTAGAAATGGTCGATCGTATACAAAAGTTAAGCCTGTCTCAACGTCCTGTAAACAACCGCCCAGCAGATCCCGCTGGGATTCCAAAGAATCCGTCAATGTTTTTTAGACCCTGGAAGTAATTTTCGAAATATAATCAGTCACCGATACTTATCCTCAGGACATTCGACAAGAAACGACTAAGAAAGCTAGTTTATAAAAATTGACTTTGCAATGTATGTGTCTTGCAAACAACTACCAGACAGTACAACAGAAAGTCGACTTTCGGATCGATGTTCTTAAGAGCCCAATGTCTAGCCTAGAGGAAAGACAAGGACCAATAACTTTTCGTTGGACACCATACGCACGAAAAGGGGCTATTTGACAATGGTTGATTTCGCTCTTGCAGTTTTATGAAATATTTCTTTATAAATCCCGTCACTTGTCTCATGTGCACTAACATTGACGTCGATTTATAATTTCGCTGTCCTCTAGACAGAGCTCAAATCGATATCTGTAGATATGTTTATCCATAAAGGCAAAACATCGCAACAAGATTAGAAGCATATCAACGATAGTCAGCGCCACAACACTATTAGGGTTGTGGCGCTAGTGTTGTGGCGCTGATTATCACACATACACACACAGACCCACAAACACAGACAACGTTCACCTTTACTTCTACTTCGTTTCCTACTCGAAAAGATCCTCAGAGGAAAATTTGTGATACGCCCCCACCTAGAAGGGCAATGATTCACTATACAAATAGAGTAAAATAATAACAAACAAACAATTATTTTTTTGGGTATTTGCCTGTATTAGAAAAGTGCACTTGATGAAAAACAACTATAGTACCTATAAGGTATTCACTGTTGGGAAACTGCCGACGTTAGCATGTGGGAACGTATAATATCTAACAATTCTCTTCTAGTTAATCCAATGTGCCTAATCAGTCCCCCTTATCCAGAGCTACCAGAATCAATGACACGTCAGTTAGATACAGTATTAATCAACATGTATGTATTCACACGTACAATACACGAGCGCTCATGAAAAGATGTTGTATGTATACAATATGGAGCCAGAACTATTGGATCTTTATTGTCAGCCACTTACAGCCCGGCTCACTTAGTCAAAGGCTATATGTACGATAGGTGACCATCAAACAGTTATGCCTACCTTGAAAATACAAAAAGTAATGACGAGCCATTATTTAAGAACGTTATTTGCGATATAGGAGCGAATAGCACACACAATGAATATAGAATAGTAATACGGCACAATTACGACTATTATACTGATCTATTGTAATATGTTGCCTACTTTTTCTGGATGAAAAATCCATGTGGTTATTCAGTCGATTACAGTAGGATAGGGTATGACGTGTTTGGAAAAAGTAAAAAATGCGATATTTTTGTTGAGATGCAGAGGTCCATCCATTTTATGGGTTTGTATATATATATGTATATATAGCCATTACCAAATCAAATAAGGCCGTCTAGAAATTTCACACATAACCGAATTCGATCAAAAATATATCCGCCAAAACCAAGTACTGCGTACGGTTTTTTCATTTGATGTGAAAGTCTGCTTTCTAACGATAGTACACGTGACGGCGCGATTATTTGAAAAGTATCTCTAAACTGCTGTGGATAGGAAGGCGGCTTGTTTATACGACAGTTTTTCATCACAACATTACGCACAATTTAGGTATTCGATTTTCTCGTTTTTCATTCATAGAGAGATTTTGTAAATTATGCGATGTAGCATAGCAATTATTATTACTATGACTATCTATCTAATGCCGTAACCGTAGCCTTTTTTCTAATAATTATCACGTGATTTTTTTGGTTACGCAAACTCGTTTTGGGATTAGCAAAAGACCTGACGGAGAGTAGCATACTCCGATAACCAAGCTCATACAAGAAAAGCGATCGGGTTTAGAGGGTCAGAAATTCGAAGTGTGCAGTTTACAATCTAGCCCATAATACGACGCATACGCTGCCCCCTGTCATAAAGAAAAATAGGAAATAAAAATGGAAAACAATACATAGAGTGCTAGCGAAAAACAGGATCATTCTAAAAAAGGACCGATTTTTAACTACATCATCGGGTGACAATGCGCGAAAAAATCATTGTGTCTATAGAAATTCTCTGACGTATTATTGAATGAATGGTTTTAACTGTCGTAGGCCAGCCAAAAGCCTTGCTTAAGCTGTGCACAGAAGTATGCTTGTTTCAAATGGGCCAAGATATTCGTTTGGACAATTAAAGTCTAGGGAATGGTCTGCCTTCTGGATTAATCGCATTTAGAGATTTTGCATAATAACTCTTAACATATAAACGACGTTGTGGCGGAAGATTTTACGAATCTTCTGCAACGCAACAAGTGGACAGGTAAAACATTTAAGCAAAATAACAATATAGACCGTGATTTCCATTCACGGCGCAAAAGCCCTATAAATTCGTAAGCGGTATTCGTATTAGTAAGGTAATTCAGTGTAAGGAAGCTGACTCACCTATGAGAGCAGTTTTTAGCCAGAAGCTATATATGTTTATGAATTACAAGTCACATACGGTAGATTGTGCCTCGAAGCTATCTATCCACTAATGGTGTTGAAGTTCTACTACGGCTCGGAAATTCATCTGACTTAAATCCGATTAAAAATGTGTGCCACTATATCAAAAGGTGGGTCAAGATTCTGCAGCGCCGATCACAACTAACTAGATCGGAACTACAAAATACTAGCCTCGTTGAATGCCCTTCCTTTTATGGCAATTTGAAAATGCCCCCTGTAACGATAGTGTTGACCGTGTGGCGTAATTAGAAAGCAGATGGAAGTAGATTTCACATAAAAGGATCGTACGCGAACATTAAGTTCGGATACTAAGCTGTATTCAGTTGAACAATGAGTGGCTTTATCTGATTGGACAATGACTATACATATGTATGGTGTACACCGCTAGTTTGCTAGTCAAGACTAAACGCTAGGATAGTCGAAACGATCCACAGTGGTACGGTCGATAGACAATAAAAATGCGATAGAAAGCTTAATGAATGTACATGAATATTTTGAAGAGCAAAAATGAAAATATATATAGATTGTCTCTAGTAAAGACTTTGTACCTTCTTTTATTTACTACATTATATTGCATGCTTTTTACATTTAAAGTCTAGACTAAGTAGTAACGTTATTTCACTTTAGAGAGATAGAGCAAGTAATGTCAAATTACTTATTTTTTTCGAACGTTTTCTCGTATTTTCATTTTATTATATTAAATATATTGGTTACAGTCAAATTATAGTTGTTCGTAAAATCTTATATGGCTAGTATCCACTTCTATTCAAACCTTGTGTATATAAAATCTCTCTGTTATAGGTTAGTGTCGCACATTCTTTTAGCACCGTTTTTACATTAGCTTTTTACAAAAATTTATAGAAAAAAAAGGTTAATTAGCAGGTACAGTAGACAGCTTTGAAGGGAGCCGAATGTAACGTGAAATTAATCCAAGGTTTTTATTATTGTTGCAGATAAATGATAACTTACCACATGTTTCCAACAAGGACGTTCCTCATACGCGTACCGTGTTTTCTTTTACCGCAATGGCTTGTAGTTATGTGGCCTGGAGAGGCAGCTAGTGGTTAACCAGTGTGCGATTACATCAAGAGAACATATATATATATATATGAGTTATATGGTTTCGAGTTTTTCTTTCAATTGTCCTTGAATTTAGAAGAATAGTAAGCGAAGAGGTAATCACCGCACTATGACGGGGACATCTCTAACTTTCATGGCAGGAAATCCAATTTTAGATCTCTTGTGTACAGCTAGAAACACGAAGCAATTTCTAGGTTAATGTGCTTACGAATGCCCAATCATTGTTTAGTTTCCACGAAACAGTTTACATTAGAGTTTATGATATAGAGTGCATAGAAGCATATAGATATTTATACAGAGAAGCTCCTACTTACTAGAATGTACCGTCGAGGCGCGCTGCTTCGCGCCACTTTTCAGTTTCAGTTGTGTAGCTTATAGCTGACGTGTTAACGATGTATTTAAATGAACTTAAACATTTGTCAGATTTCTAGAATCTCGCTAACTGTGCGTTGAACCCACAATATATTTCTGGTATGTCTGCCCATCAAAAGCAGGATAATATACCATCTCAATTAATCGCAGGTAGAGTATGTAGTAGCCAAATACATTAGCTGGTGGTCCCGTCAGAGCAGCCAGGAGCAGCATCCTTCCTTCGCAAACTAGCGCGTAAAGCTCTTTGGTTGATCTACTAAAATATTCAAATTATAGCCACTATCACAGCTAGAAAAGTAATAGCCTATTATCCACGTTTGTATCAGTAAACCTACCCTGATAATATATCATCAAGTCAAAGTTCATAGTGCCTTTAACTTACTCGTAATTAGCTCGTAGAAGAGTGAAAACTTTAGACCAGCAAGCAAAAACAAATCTTGTTTTTGCTTTGTTTTTTATTTCCTTCTATTGATTATGTACATATTTTTTTTTTGCTTCACTCATAGTTTTGAGGCTGGCGCTTTAAACGCTGTTTGCCCACGGTATTATATATACGCTTGTATGTAACACCCAAAAGTTTTTTGAGGTAACTCTATTTTTGGTTTTCGGCTAAAGCTACTTATTCTACAACCATATGGAAATACCGAACATTCATTCTTGTCGTACCAAATATGACTACAATACGGTTTTACATGTATGACATCGAATAACAGAGTAGTTCACTTTTGCAAAATTTCAATGCAATTTTTATATATAGGTTTAGTCTGCTACAGCTAATTTGAGATATGTCAACTATAAAAGAATTGCCAACTCTGAATAGTCAGAATATATATATATAGAGTTTTGTTGCACATACATACACCGGCTACCTTACCGTTGTCATAAGCTTTTGTGCTGATAAGTATACGAGCAGAGGTCTTCGTCTCGATATTCGCTCGTATAAATTCAGTGTTCCCAGCGACTTTTATTCAGTTTAGTTCACATCATATTCTATTTCGCTACATATTTTTTCGTAGATTTTTTTCTCTATCGCTCCCATCCTTATAGAATATAGGGATTCATTTATTACAATGTCAGACATACTTCTTCGTTTTGAGTTAAGTACAGTCCTTCACAAGAGCAGTTCCATAATGTAGGAGTGTCATATCATGTTAACTCCTGTAGGTATATAGCTGCAAAATCCTTATATTTTAATAGACGCAATTCCTCTTCTCCTGGAGATGATTTACATGCATTGCTAAATACATAGATATTATTGAAATATAATGGGTTTATATACCTAGGTTTGAGAGTGATATGCTATTCATGTTCGGCATTCTGGCTAGCAATAACTAATGATATCGAAGCATCTTACGCTTCACGTTGGACAATATTATGGGTTTTGCTCATTGACAATATAGTCTTCAAGGATTTCTTGATGTAGCGTGCACGTAGATGGATTAGCAACCCGTCGTAAACTTTGATTCGATAAGAAAAACGGAAGATGCCGCCTCACATCGAGATGATAGAATATGTCAGATGAAATCTCTCAGACACTGTCATTTCTGTGTGTGAGCACAGTTTATTCCTCGCTTATATTACTTGCTCTCACGTATTGGCTCCTAACAAAGGTTTTCGTTGAGTACGAGAAAAAATTTCGATCTACTTAATGGTAACAGCAATAAGCAAAATGTATTGTATCATAGTCTTTTTATATAGATCGAATTAGATTTCGTTTACAGTATTACGTTACGTATACAGGTCATATGGAAGGATTACGGTCAAAATACAAAAAAATAGATGCGGGGCTAGTACATAGCGTTTTCGTCACGGACAGAGTAGTCAAAATGAAAACAGACGAAAGTCTGCCTGTTCTGAAATATACTTCAGCGACCTTTCGAGTAGCTCCGTTTCATCACGTACTTGTGAGACTATTAATTTCTCTGTTATAGATATATCCGGAATGTTGACATGCCACGTACTACCAAATCGTTGTTAAATTAACATTCCCAAAATCGGGCTGAAACATCCTCTGGATTTCACAGCTCTGCACAGCTTTTTCTACATGTCTTAATTAGAAGGGCGCTAATACATATAGGCCTACTTCTATAATTTATTTAGAGTATTTAATACGATATTTAACTAGTAGTCTACTTTAGGTTTTCATTTGCAGAAAGCGTGTTCGTCAGAAAGACATGGGGGCGTCGAATTATTGCAATGGACCTTAAACATCTTAAACGGACTTTCCAGCCACAATCGTTTAGTTTCCGATAGCATGGGGGCTCTGAAAGGCAGTTTCCGTAGTAGAAGGCGTATCTTCAGTAGGTCTAAAAGAGGGACGCGTTGCTAAACATTAGCTATGATCAACATGAATGAAGTTGCGTGCAAATTTGGGGATACGATGGCCGAAATGTTTTACAGTTAGTAGCAATGATTGTAGTTACACCAACGTTAGGCGGATGACTCGAACAAGTTTACTGATTCTAAACTTCCCCCTGGCAAGCAGTAATAAGCAGATGGCTAAAAAAAGTGGAGGAATTACCGATATGGATAGGTTCATCTAAAGTTATTGTATTTTCTGCTATTACACCAAGAGAAAGATTCTTAGCTCTAACGGAGGCCTCTTTTAACGCACTGAATAAGAATGAAAAGTATTTGCGTAGACTTGTTCCTAACAACTAATGCAAAAGATGCATTTCAGGTTCAAATCGTAAATTAAAACAACTCATGCTATGGTTAGTATATCACAGACCCGTCAGTCAATCACAAGGGACCCCATTCATTGAACAAAAGTGAGCCGGTCCTCGAACTAACTAAGCAATTTAATTACGCAAGAACATTTCTTTAATCTCTGTATCCCATTATCACGTCATACATTATTGTTTTGGAGGGACCTTACATATATACCACCGGTCAAATAGTGTGTTTAAGGATAGTGATGATGGGAGGAACTAAATTCTATTGGAAAGGATTCTGTTTCGCCGAAGGAATACAGAACAATGACGATGCGCAGGTCCGTCGAAAAGGAAAAAGCGATCTACTCTAATGCTGTCGTCGTGGGGAGAGAAGTCTAAAAAAGTTTGTGACCTCTGAATATTAGTGTGACAGACCCATGCTGATATATCTATCGTTTTGGCAGTGGGTTGTTTTTAATTAAACGTGGTCAGATTTAGTGACTTTGCAAACCACTCGGCACCTCGCAAAATGCAGGAATTTTTTTACTATCGTTGAATCGTATTTGCCCTATTGACCACTATATTTGTGTGCACGTTAATAGGACGAAGGATAGGTTACGGGTGATCCTAATCTTCATTTTAATACCTAGATACTATTCTTGCTGAGAACGTTTTGATCACGGGCTGTAGGGTTTGAATATGATTTGCGCTGTCGTCATTAGTGAATTTAGTGTACTAAAAAAATACTAAAGCTGTATCTGTTGTCTACACCTCTTAGTTAGTACACCCATATTCAAGGATTCTCACTCCGTTCACAATAATACGTTTACAGCATCAAACGTAATTTAACGCGACTGGCCTTATCAACCAAGGCTCATAAGTGTAACAAACAAAAAAACATCTTGTATGAGGTAAAGGCCTACTTAATAGATTCCACATTGGTTTGCCGATACGGAACGTTGATTGCATTGAAAACGCGGGACCAAGGACTAAGGTGTCAGCTTGATTATATCGTAGAGCATGACCGTCCACCTGAAACAATAGCGGTCTACTTGTAAATTTACACACTGTGTACGGCGTTAAGCACAAAATCGGAGGACAGAGAATTAGCGACAGTGCTGGGACCTTACCACAAGTAGGCTTTAACTTGTGCGGGAAAAGACGAGTCCAATTTAGTTGTCACCTCCAATGGCGCCACTGTTCCCAGCGGTATTTTCCTCTTCAGAGTAGTCGAGCGGTAAAACCTGTTCTTCGGCGAGGGCAATTCTTTTGTAGGCCGGTTGCGACACGAGATAGAAGACAAGCATGACGAAAATCACAATGCAAACACCTATAGAAATATCGTCCATAAATGAGCGCATACACAAAAATTACCCTTACGCCTTCAAAGTTTAGCACGACAAGAAAGTTATCCTAAACTCCATAATTCAAACAGAAGATATAACAAACAGAAGAAACACTATTTATGATCAAGAAATTACTTCATTTCGATACAAAGACATTTGTTCCATATACCTTGTTTGGTTAACTTATTACATTCTTGATATTTAGCAAATCGCACAGATGAATGGTTCATACCCAGCGCATTGCCGATCTGTGCTCCAGCAGGCAATTTATGGTAGTCCTTATTGAAAATATTCTTCTCAGTGATTCCCATCAAAGCGGCGCAAGTCGACAGAATGAAAATCATAGTCCCCCCAAGGACGTGTAAGGGAAGGTACCTAACGTTGACAACAAGGACACATAAGCTTATCATTGGTCACTGTTATAATAATTCTAACCTTTGAAAGAGCTGACTTCATTCACTAGGCTATACGTAGGTAGATTTTGGATTTTTTCTGTTAACACTTGCATAATTCAATAAACCGATCAAAAATAGCAAAGAAGCAGTTATCTTCAAAGAAATAGCCTTCACCTACTATTAAAGAAACGATTATATTTCGGCTTCCAAAAATATCGCGTGTCGTCGCTAGAGGCACATGTTCCGCTTTACGACGACTGTCATCCAGTATGAAATCATACAGTGTAAATTAATATATATATATTTTGCTAACATTTTCCAGTTTCAGTCTTCTGAAGTTACCTGCTACGAAGTGATTTGCGAACTCTCGGATACAGGAAGGACACAAAACCAGCAAGAAATTGGACAGCAAACATGATCACAGCTGAGATCCCAATCCACGAGTGGAGACTGAAACCAGGCAAGTCAATCGTTGCTATACTTTTGTGATACAAGTACGCAGGAATGGACACGAATTTACTAAATAGATATTAAAGCTAAAAGCCATTACTGACAGGGATACTTCGTATTCATAGAAAATACGCGCAGTGTCGACGAGTTCCGCCCGGACATTTACCTGTACAAATTGGGAATGGGTGTTTTAGCATAGTTATGCGAATCGAAGACGGCCTTTAGACCGACCACAACGAACACAAACGCGACGAAATGGAGAGCGGCGTGGATTGATTTGAGACGGGGCTTTGCTTCGTTGCGAAGTGCTCGATAAATGAGAATCGAGTCACCCTGAATGGCGATCAGTCCTAGCGTCATAAGTAGCGGATGCCAATTGAACCATTGCCCAGGGCTCGAGGGGCCGGCGAAGCCCTGATTATAATACGCGCCCCATGCCACCACTAGTACGATGGCGATACCACCAAACACCTATGTAAAACGAATCAAGTACATCATCTTAGCGAAACCACGACACAACGATTAACATGCTTTTCCCATGCGATAGTAACGCGCGCCTCAATCTTACTGGACAAAAAATTCTGCAAGCAGCATGCTTCTTCAGCTTATCGTATTCGATGTCCAAATCTGAAAACAACGACCTCTAAAAGGTTCAATGTTGACGCATTTAAGATAGAAAAATTGCTCAAGTTGCAGCAAAATAAATGTTTTAAAAAAATGTATTAGTATTCCAGCAAAATTTTCTCCGAGCAACGAGTAAGGAGTTGATGATATTTAATGATTGAACGCTCAACGCAACTAAAGAACATTACTTTGTGTAACTTAAGCACTATAATTAATCGAAACAATCGTAAATATCGTAGTTAACGTTAGTGCTTGTGGCACATATTCAGTGATACAATCTAAATCACTGTAATGTGTAAGTCGCGGATTCATTAGCCCATGCTGGTATACCTGAGACAGGATGAAGAGAAAATTGAAAAAAGAGAGATCTTGTCGGATAGGAAAATCTTGGTAAGTGTCCATGTTGGCACCTGGAATTTAAAGAAACCAGGAATACAAATATAAATCTTGTTTTTACTTTCAGGCTTGAATGTATAAGACCTTGCAACTTGGAATTGTTACCTTAAGCTTAGCACGCTTACAGAGGCAGGGGACTAACCATGGATCCAATGGTGAGAGTGCTTGTAGACGCGGCTTTCGCCCGCTAAAAGTTGTGCCGATGCGCATAACTCAATTAGCTAGATGTTTACATGCATTTAGATCATTGACGTTTCTTGAGAATAGGTTAGAATTGAGCTTTTTTTTTAAGTTAATTCTATTTTAAGCTGGGGCCGATTAATGCACACACGAGGCTCTGTAACATAAAATTATTATTTGGCAATAATTGATGATTAAGAATATGCACAGGTCACCCTTAAGTGTAAATTGCTAATTTCTATGTAGATAAAAAATCAAGGGAGTTCCGTGGAGAGGCCGCATTTGTAGTTATCTTGTATGTAAACCCAGCTATAACACAATTGTTGAAGTGCATGCGTATACGATTGGACGTATGATCGAAAATCGCATCTAGTAGGAATACTTGTATGTCGCGGGCGTATGCTGATTGTATGTCCAAAACTGATAACCTCTTCTAGGACTCACTTCCCTCTTCTCTCGGACTTCACTTACTATGGACACGACCTTTTTTTCTAGTTTTTAGTGAAGGTTCGATACAAAACATGTGGTGATAAAATGAAAAATAATTTCAGGTTACCTGATTAATAGTGATGTAGCTGTTGTACTTATGTTACAATTTCAGGCTGTCGTCCTTTGATCCTACCTCTTTAGAGCCAATTGAAGTTTTCGGTCCGACAAACCAAGTTGTTGTTGTTCATTGAGTAGGCTCTCATTATAGAGTTTCTAATGCAGTGTACCTTAGGAAAGGCTTATTATTGAAAACTTATAATTATTTTTTCACACTCCTTGGCAAACAAAAAATTGCGAACAGGGTTTATGTGATTGTTAAAATTTAACTCTAATAGTAGGATGTTGCCTTCCCTTATTTACAGATCCGTCGTGATTGTCATATACGGCCTAGTCTCGAAACCTACGTGCCATAATAAATTGTGTCGGAAACAATCTAAATACGAGCCAAAAGCACATGTTGCTATTCGGAACGTTTTCCTACATGAAAACGGTACAGCTCGATTGTAAGAACTTATGAAATGGTTTTCCTAATTCTGGCAGACAAGGCAAAATGTCAGTTGTGACAAACAGGACGCAAGTTGAAAAGAGCTGGCTCGATGCGACCTACGTAGTCGTAATATAGCGTCAACCAAATAGCAAATAAGCATATTGGTTGATGTACTACAACCATACGTATGACATGTACAACTCGAATCACAAGAGAATGTGGTTTAGATTTAAAAAAAAACGTGTACTATAATAATAATAATAATATATAAAAAGGAAAAATATCCGTTCCCATCAGGAAACGTTCCCATCAACTCCTAGCTAAACTCAACCTCCGCACATAGGCCATTCGATCTACTAATTAAGTTGTTATGATGAAAGGTTGAGCAAAGAGTTGATCGAAAAGCGTGTAGTACTTCGCTTCCACAAAAAAACATATAACAAATGTCCTTTATTGGCCCCTATTGGTAAATCGCCAGTAAACTATCACGAATAAATCTTAGCTTAAACTATACCCGCATCCATAGGAAAAAGTAAATAGACGCACGACAAGGTAGAGAAATAGCCTATTTTAAATATGAACAAATATAACATTACATACTTTGTAATGTTATATTTGTTGTCGGAAGTACTTGTTCATGTCGTGAATATATTACCTTCCCGTTTGCAATAACAAAAGCTAACTAAAGCTGAGTTTTTCGTCTGCTATCGTCGGTAAGCACAGCTTTAGAAGCAAATCACACATATTAACTGGGCCATGGAAACTATACTTTTAGCGATCGGTAACTGTTACCACTCGGCTCAAAATCCTTGCGACGATCCAGGTGTCTAGTATCTTTTCTAAACACGAGTTTCAATACCCGTTTCGACAAGTAGAAAGTTTTGCTCATCATCAATATCATAGTGATAGATATACAATATACCAGAGTAGCAGATCTAGCGGACAACTGTTTATAAGCTTAATTCTGTTTATTATAAAATAGAAATAGACGTTCGGGACAACTGTTTACGGCAACTGATATGTTGCGTATTGAATTGAGCGCATCGATAGTTGAACATAAAATAGTGTTAGGAATTCATATTACAATACAAAGGTTGTGCTTCTACCAGCTAAGAAACTACTAGCCGATAATTGTTCGAAGGATTTGCGACCTAAATATTGATCAGGGTTCAACTGCGGCGTACATGTTAGCGCAAAAACATAGCGAACACCTTATCACCAGGCATAACACATTACGTGTATTCTCGTATTTGGCCTTTTTATTGTTCGTACAGCCAACCTCACTAGCAATAGAACAGGAAAGAGAGATAAATAGATCATTCTTCATATATCAAATTTTACGCTTATATGCACGTGTAGTGGTAGAGGAACGTCCATATTTGGCCTATTTCTGTGTTTATCGGGGGTAGCTGACGAAATCAATTGAACAAATACCTCAACGGTTTTAAGTGAAAGCACATTGATCAGGAACAAGTTGATAATATGTTCGCAGTATAATAATAAATATTATATATAAAACAACTTCGTGAAACATAAATGGTGGCCACGTAGAAGGTAAATAGCTCGTTAGCAATCACTTATAACCTTTGCACAATTGACAAGCAGCGTTTTTTTTTTCAAATCAAGAATAAATGTCTCATACATACGTATTCAAGTTTAGGCACACTTGGATAGCAAACATTCACAATACATCGTAATGAGAGAGGCTGCGGGTGCTAATGTCTTGATAGTAACTCTTTAAAAAAGAGTTACTATCAAGACATTTTTTTTATTTATTTAAAGAGTATTTTTTGCAAAACACTTTTTTTAACAAACGAGAAATATTCACACCCTTTATAGGTAAAAACAGATCTCTCAGCGCGGCTTAAACATACATTTTTCTTCAAAGATTGATCATCCGTTACGAACATTGTTGTGCATCATGATTTGTTTGAACTATATGAAACCATAAAAGATAAGATTATTTATATGGGATATTCAACCTTTTTCTATCTGTACTGCATAGAACTATGGTAACTATCCTAGCTGATATGGACATTTTAGCATCGTGTTTAATCGTCCACATGAAAAAACAGCGTAGCCCCATTCAATCTACTACTGTTGACAAATAACACAATTACTCAGTTCTAAGCCATGGATAAAAATAGCAAATTTGCAGGTAAACCTAAAGCTTTCTAATGGCGACTGTAAAGTCTCTTTAACATTACAAAAATAATTAGACGTTTCTCTTTGTAATATATTCCTTAGGTTTTATTGGATAGGTCACATGATAAACTCAATTTTCATCATCTATTTTTTTTATATTATAGAATTTCAAAAAGAATAAACTAAGCCGTTGATCAGTGTGATGTGACCAAGTTGAATATCATCGTACATTTCGCGCATACATAACCCGAGAATTTAAGTAGAATGTCGCTAAGCCATATATCGCACTGCCTCATCCTGCTTTCTAGTGCCAAAAACTTAATTGCGCAAAAAATGAACTCTTACAATAGGGAGATAAGAATATCTCCGCAGGGTGCCGAATAGACTACGATGGCGGAAGCAAGGCGACCTATGGCGTTTACAATCAACCGAAAATCTGATATGCATGGTAGGCTTTCCAAGAGGTTCTGCATGAGAACTTGACGTCGACTTCACGCAGTCTTATATCAGTCTGCGCCAGTAACCAGTAAAGGTGGATTACTATCACAGACTACTGAACGACTAAGTGTCTCATTCTAGATTTAAGCCATGACTTGGTAACGAGGCTGTTCTACAATCATGAAACACTATAATAAGAAGTGACTTTGAAGCTCTTCTATGCTAATCGCACAAATCATAGAATAAATCCTACTAGTGAACCAATAGTACTAGTAACAAAAGCCCCGTTATACAAAGATCTCAGGACAAAACTCCTAGATCCTTGTATGATGACGTGATTGCCAGACGTATTGCCGCACCGACGAAAAATGACTAAATACGATTTGTGATTTAAAAATTCGCACTGCAGTCCTTCACACGCTCTCAAGACTTCCACTCCGAAAAACTTTCAGATCGCAAGACATGATTTAAAAGCGGCACGTTACAACGATTCTAGCCTTATCTTCGGGTAGTAGACAGACTTTAGTTCTGCCTGAGAAACGAAATACGTTTTCTATGGGTGTGTGGTTTGATAAACTCTGAAACACTTGAACGAAAAAGCAAATGCCACCCTTGCAATGCTACGCACGCGCAAAATAATACGTTCAGTCTAACGACACACCAGTACAAATTAGTCCTAAACCTAGTACATCTCTCAGATTTACAGAGCGCAAGATTGACGCACGATTTTGGCCCAGAGATATTCCACAAAGAACCAAGCATATTTTAATTAAAAACCTCCTAATACATGAAGTATGCGATGTATTACGCTGGAAAGCAATGTCTGTTCCTTAACTATCAATAAAAACGTTTTACACACGTATGTTAACTGTCTAGAGGAGTAAACAGTAGAGTTAAGAGTGGATTCTCATCGAAATCCATCAAAACGGACAATTAGAACAGTTCATTGCAAGCTAACCACTAGTAGACGATAATAATAAATCCTCTGCTACGACCTATGCCATAGCGACAATACAGAACGAAAAGCAGATTGCGATAAGATACCGGATTTGACCTAAGATACACTGAATGTTATCTCGCTGATGCCCTGTAAAACGTGTAGCCATTATGCAGAAACCTGATCGTTTGATATATTTTAGGGCAGATTTTAAACTACGATGGGCATTCTCGAGATAACTGCTATGCATGCCGTTAACCGTAATAACCTATTTTTAGGGAATTGTCGAATGCAAAAAGACAAAAACTATGGTCGACACTATCCGTAGATTCAGCAACGCTAAAGGTAGTGAAAGTTCAGAGTGGTACCATGTTTTGAAGAATGGAATTTGACAGGTAACTTAATTGGTTATTTGCGGATGTTTATTTCTGATGGGAGAAAACTGTTTATTAATTAGTGGCACATTTTTCATAAAGGTTTATGGAAAGATTACATGAAATCCACGATTGCGACTAAATCGCTTGGAGTGTGATGCTCCGGTGGTAGTAGTTTAGAAAGAAACGGGCAATCAGGTTTTACTTCCGGTCTGAATGGTGTATTAGAAGACCATTCTTACTATGTTCAATCGCAGAGAATATATCTAGCCAATAAATCCTATGAAGGCATATTTAAGACTGAAATTGATCATGAATAAAGGAAACTCCCCAATGTATCTATGGTTGGGATAGACTTTTATTTGGAATGAAAGTAGCCTCTGCTATCTTCCAGGAGGTACTAGATGAAATGATTAGTAGATCAACTGATGAATCACCATATTTAGATGACATTATAGTTATCGGCTCCAAACATAATAACTTGAGCTTGATCAACTCTTTCACTCAATTAAAGACTGTGGACTCAAAGTCTGCTTTTTTGAAACATCAGTTACCTACTTAGATTTCATTATGAGACAGTCGTAAGCCAGATCTAGTGACGACTGAAGTGCGAAGACAAATATGCCTTCATTTCCAAATATGAAGAAAAAAATTATTGCGGTTATTACACGGAACAAACACGCTACCTAACATCTATAAGTAATCCGTGAGCCCCTTGATCAACTCCTGTTGAAAGATTTAGAGTCGGAAACAGAGAATGCCAGAAATCCTTAAATAAAACTAAACCTTTAAAATCAAATTTGTTACGTACTTAGCCCTTCACTATCGATTACAGTCGCAGCTCATACTAGGAAATCCGTATGGCTCGGAAAGAGTTATACCGTACGCAAGTCGTCTTCTAAATAAATAAGAACAAAGCTACGCGCGAATTGAAAAAGAAGCCCTAACACTCCTCTCGGTCAGATAACATACAAGGACAAAGGTTTTTTGTGACCATAAACCACTGTTCTCTATTCGGTAGAAAAAAACGAATTCTACTTTATACAGCTAATAGATTACAGAGATAGTTCTATTGGGATACTCGTTTGAGATACAATATAGAAGAAATAGCGAGTTCGGCAATGCTGAAGCCCTATCGCGCCGCATTATTAACGACGAGATTCGCTATCTATGGTCTAATAACGTTTTTAATGTTACAAATAAAATCAATATGACGCTACAGAAAGCGATCACATGTCTGAAGACAAATGGCCGAAAACCTCGTTGATTTAATAGTTGAGTATCTATAATGAAAGAATGTCTTTTATTGAACGATAAAATTGTTAACCAAATTATATTATTAAGCAAACTTATTAAAATAATTATACGCCAATCACTTAAGCAGCACCAGAACTAAATAGGACAAAACGTAATACATATGCTGGCTGCCGACCGATAACGACATCGGAACTATGGCCTGGCACTGTTTCCATTGCATCAATCAAGTTAGTACAACAGCGACACCTGGTGTTCTTGACTGCATAATTCAGGTGGCGTAGGGTACACACCCTAAATCAATCACAACTGCTGCAGTCATTTACGAACTATAATAAACGTTCACACATGTTAGCAACCTATACACATTGGCTACTAACAACTGTCCTTAATTCAGATCAGGAACATTTGCTAATTTCGCCAAGTTTTTGGAAATTTATTACGTCAGAATCGACGTTTCATCGCTAGTTAAATTATTTAGCCGAGTGATTCGTTAATATTTTTTAGAAAAAAATTACAGAAAAATTATTCCGATTCAACTCGTGACCTACAACTAATGTCCTGCAAGAGTTTTTTCAAAATTGGCAGGAGTTGTGTCAGCATGTCGTGTACGACAGCTCTTTTTAGAGAACATAGTTTGTTACCTGTTGAAATTCGAAAAGGAGGTGAGGACCCGTATGACGAACGAACGCCCTTTTTAAAATAAACCTTGCTACAATGTATGGACACGTGACTTAGAAGATGGGAACACTCGAGTTGGCCACCAGGACAAGTTTTACCATAGATCAAAGTCGTTGTATACAAAGTCAAAGTAAAAAAACACAAAATGAACCTGAAGGTAAAGAACAATCGTTCTTAAATAGGATGTTAGGAACCTTATCGACGCTCCGAGATGCTTGTATTGCGCTGCGCGGATGCATTGAATAGGTAATCACATTCAAAACGGCAAGACAATGCAGCGTTTGACAGTCTCTTTCCAGGCTATTCGTAAGTGCAAAAGGCGAACAATGAAGTAACCGAGAAATTTATCTAGCCTATTAATACAGTGTCTCTTTCTAGATATTAGCCATAAATTCCATAGAATTAACCTATGATATCTAAGTTTTTCAAAAGCGCAAACTGTAAGATTTAAAATAGCAGAACATTTCCTCAATATACTGTGCATCAGCTTTACGCATTCAAGTTAATGGATGTCACGAGCCTAAACATATTGTAAATGCACTTTCATGGCACAATTGTTGAATAGCCATCTAAGTACACTTGGGACCTACATTTGGTGCTAATTTTTCATTTAGTTATATGGATATAACGGCTTTAATTAAATTTCGACAACTTTTCATAGAAATGACTGACCAGCTGTTTGCTTAGCCCGTTGGCGGCCATATCTATGAGGGCTTTTTTCTCTTCACCTCATGTGCTTCGCCACCTTTTTAAGCTCCAGACCATATTCTAGATACATTAGCTTAAAACGTGCCGTGAGCCCATTGAGCAGCTGACAAGTTTTACTGCCCCATCACACATACATCTAGGTTCATCTGGGTTCCACGAGAACTTTATACAAATATAACCTATAGAAAAATATCATTGCCACCCTTTGTAAAATTTGAAATGTGTACCGGCTTCGCCAACCTGCGTATCAGTGGATTAATTGCCGAGCGGTCCTTTACACTCGCAGCGTATAGGAGCCACTGAACTACCATAACTGACGCAACACGAACCGGCCAATTCACCACAAAACACGTACCGTTTCGCGAACACCTGTAGGAGCTGCAGTGGCCACTACTTTACACACTCTTTCTCAGTCTGTCACTACCACACTCAACCAGATGATGGATGTCGGCAGGACCCAAAATGTTCTTCGAGTGGCAGATTCGAGACATAACTAAATAACGACGCGCGACGCGCAGATGAGCACCGAAAAATCTCCCGCTGAACGGAGAGTCAAAACTACGATTAATAGTAACGCCGTAGACTTGGAGCGAAACGGACAACTGTTTAAAATAATTCGTTGTACACTGTTTGCACTTGAATGTTATTCTTATTTAATAGGCCACCATCTCGCGCACAAAGGCATCACAAGCGCTTTTTTTTTTTTATTTGTATCAATCTAGTCGTTTCTCCTATATTTTTTTGTTCTTAATTAAACATTTTGTTGTAAATTCTTGTCTCACAGCGGAACAGTTATACTTGAAACAGGTGGGGGGTTGTGTTTGGCTAAGGCCTTGTTTATAATGTGGTAAACAATAATCAATATTAAACAATAATCTATCAGACGGATGGCTTCCACCACGAAACGAACTGTGCCAACGCCCGAACCCACACCACTGTCTTCCTAAAATTAACACACAATCACGTTACGCACAAAAATATCACTGGAACTATCTACACCTGCCCCGGTGCAACATGCCCTGCTCATACGTACGTCTTAAATCTACAATGAGTCTCAACCAAAAGATGCCCATCTTGCAAACGGCAGCGCTGCAAGGGAACAAAAGTAACAGCTGTTGCCACACGTCCGTACATCTAATCATTCGAAGTAGAAAATGTTATTTTAAACAAGTTAGCGACCAACCATACGGCATCTTTTTGACGGAATGTCATTGTAATGTCTGGATACGCCTTCGGTTCCGCTAGCCTGCTATTTCTAATTTGATAAAATAAAAGTGCGTTTTTAACGCTCAATGGGTACGCTCTAGAAGCAACGTTTTCCCTGCCCGTCTAACTAGGAAAACTGTGCCTTTTCATTGACAAGTAGGCGTATGGTAACAGAGTGTGAGCGCGCCACCGAATAAGGCTTCAGAGTTATGTGAACGCGCGAAATACAATGGTGGAACGAACATCGCGCGTTTGTATGTTCACACTGAGTACCGCAAAAAGTACGTAAAATTATATAAGCGATTAGCTTTATCTCTTCGGGAACGCGATCCTGTGTATCGGAATAGTGGCGACTAATGTCTATATAATTCCTATTTTATCTTTACAATCATTTGAAATTTCTGATAGAAAAAAAATGACGGAAAAAATAGAGGTTTTTGTAACAAGGTTTTTTGACGTTCATCACTTGACGTAATTCATAACACGTTCTGAATTATTCTAAATAAATCTAGTTTGGCGCGCAACAGCAGTAAACATTTGGACGATAAGTAATCAGTGGAGAATTCATATATGACAGGAAGCTTAACGTGGCTAAACGTTGTACATTAACGGAAATGGGTTATTCTATATTACCTATTTTAATCTAGTTTGGCACTGTCACATTGTGATCATTATATTACGGTATTATATCGGAATTAAGCGAGTATATATTTAATGCCTGCTCTATAAGGCAGGATTACCTACCTTAAGTGAATCAATTTGCACCGGCTGGGCTATGCAAAATCTATGCGGATGACATTAAAAGTTACTCATAGGTATTTGTAGACTTCGCAATACGGAACCATAAAGTAAGGCTTCAATTTCCCTATAAAGGTTTGCGTATTGGATATAGAAAGGAAAAACACAACTTGGGGAGTTTACCCTGAAAAATGCCAGAGCGAACGTTTCTATGAGTTAAAAGCAGGAACACACATGTGCATGTAATAGCATTTTCAAATAGATCGTAAAATGACACATTGTCATAAAACTTCTGAATTCTACAAAGTTCAGAATGATGACGCATAGTCAATAAAATTTCGAGAAACACAGGTGATTTTTAGAAATGGGCGAAGCGCTTTGAATTTTCCTAAGGTGGATATCAGCGGAGACAAAATCGGATAGCCAATGAACTATGGTTCTCGGAATAATGTTTAACGATATTCTCCTAGGTGCTGCCAACATCAAGAAACCGGCGAGGCGTCTAGAGTAAGCCGTCCATAGCTCCCGATGTTTAAAGAGTATATTTGATCCGGGTCTTTTTCCTCATATGCGAAAATTGTGTCGAATTTTGACAGCTTGCTAAGATAAGTTTGAACGTTGAAAGTTAGACAGCTCACAAAATAGGCGCTCGAGATTGTTTAGGGGCTTACAAAAGAATCAATACAAAAATGATTAAGTCCAAAAATACGCTCTGTACTATTCTGGTATTATTCAGAAATATTCACACGATCTACCAAAGGATCATCTCTTTTAGGCGCTTCGGGTAGGTACGTAAATCAAATCAATAAGCTCTGTAATCCACCGTAGTGGAGCTTTGCATCGATATAAGACACACCTATGGAAGTACATAGTTTCTTTTAATGCTTAATGCTTTTTTTAAATGAAAAACGAGATTAAGTGTAAGTCAGTGATATAACAACCATATACGTAATATTATTCTTGCGCTTCTGTGGTGCTATTACCACTTAGGAGATATTTGTCAATATTGCATTATATGATATAACAGGAAATACCTAAGCACGCCATTAGACTAATGGGAACTTATAATAGTGACTTATGCATTGGATTTGGAAATCTCTGGTTCGCGCATGACTTGATTTACTCAGTGTATGAATATCTACATAAAAAAAATCTTTTTAGAATAGTTGCAGTGATAACACTGAACAAGGCTGTTGGGCACAGCTTTAGCTAGACCAGTTTCTTTGGATTTGCTGTGTTCATCTTCCAGCTCTCCTGGAGTTCGGGATTTCGCGGGATTTGGTCCAGTGGGTAATACTTGTGATTTAGTCTGTCCTGGTAGACGCAGACAACCCGGAGGCCGGGAGGTTCATTATGGCCTAGGGCAACGCCAACTCCTGTTGTGATAACTTCTTCTATACTCCGATAGAAACCTCCCGCGTTTCTATGATAGTGGCCACAGAAAATTGCCTTCACACCTACAAATAAATAATCATTAGCGAATGTTAAATAATCTAGCCATTCTCAATAGGGCTTAGGAATAATCAATTTCACCTAATTGAGAAATTTAACTTAATAACTAAAAATGGCATTAGTATTAGGTAATCTGAAATTTTTGATAATATCTGATGCATGCTGGCAGGGAGATCCGAACCAGCGGTTAAGAGTTTGTTGCATGCCTGACGCTTTAAGCTAATTTAGATTATAGAATAATGGTCTCCGAACACATTTTCTTTTTTTTTTTTTGTATTTCTAATGCCCTACAATATCTACCTTCAAGAAGATAACATAATGTTTGACCAAAATTGTTTTTAAACCAAGTAGGATTTGGAAGTGCAGTGCTTTTCATTAGTTATAGGTACCAAATTCTAGTCAAAATACAATACAAGCAAAATTAAATGTACGATAATTGACCAGCATCAGCAAATTTGTCGAGCATGCTACGTCTGAACTGTTTTTCCAGGTTGAAGTACTCCTTTTCCTCGTTAGCTTCGCGAAGGAAAAATGGGATATGCTGAAAAATAAGAACGTGAGTGGCAGACTTTTCCTTCGCTTGGACCAATTGTTCGTCAATCCACGCCAAGTGCTCCTTAGCCAAATCAGGCACCTGCAAATTCAAAATAACCTATGAGGTTTCCTAACTGGTAATTTTTGTTCGTAGAATAATTAGTGGAATCCTTGGTTCTAAACTAACAACATATTACAAAACTATTAAGTCAACAGTTATATGGAAGAATGGAAAATTAACATTTTCCAACTTCGTATATATATATATATATACATATATTACGTAAATACCTGAGAACCATTTTCGAAGAACTGCGAATTTAGAACAATATTAAATACGCCTCCGCACCAGAACGTAAAGTAGTCATCACTGCCGAAAGCCTTCGTGTAGTCCTATAACCACAGTCAGCAATGTTTTCAGAACACCTGATTTTTTTTGCTGCGACATTTCCTGCTACGAAGCAACAAACTTCGCACGTAAATTTGTAACTTGGGATGAGTTGCTTATGCGTGCTTTTTTTTAAATATCAGTCCTCACCTTGATATATTGGATCTAAAAACATTTTTGTTAAAAAAAAATGTAGTTCTAGAATGTAGTAGAATGTAGTTCTACAGAATTTACTGATTCATTTTACTCTTCTCCTTTTTCTTCATGTTTTTCTAGTTTTTAGAATTTTACCTAACGAACTCTTAATGAAAAGATTCTCTAGATAACTGGCGACTACCTTATCGGTGTACATATCACAGTGGCGGAACCAACTTAAATGCGCATCTCTTCGGACAACGTCGGACTTATTCACTGGAAAATTGTTGAGGCCAGCAAACGACGCCGTGAATGAAGCTCATGTAGCCTGAGCTTCAGGTAACTTATAAACTGTAATAACAACTATTGTTGGATGGCAAAAATATTTGGGCCTTTATTCACCTGAATTGTCTGTGCTGTAGGTGTATTTCCTACATCATGGTTTCCGCAGACACATACGAGCGGGATTGCGTTATCTAGATCCTGAAAAATCTCATTCCAGTCTTTTTCCTGTGCAAGGCGGTGCATCGTACCTGCGAAAGGGTGTCATCTATAACGATGGTTGCATAACTGAACAATACTTCGCGACACGATGACTGTGTGGGTGTTTGACTCTCATTTGGGAAAAATAAAGAATGAAGCGCGCAGTGCAAATTTAGGTGGCAACCTTAAAGACTAGAACTTTGTATCTTATTACTTTGTTCCTAGTTGTGATAAGTTGTGCAATGATAATGTAATAACTAAGCTATATAAGTATTATTATTACCAGTGGGCACCAACTGTTGCCAGCTGGTCCCATTCTAATGAATAATTACAAAAAACCTGTTAAATTGGGGACCGTATCCCCTTAGCCCTAAGCTTGCACGTTAGCTTCAAATACTCTATTAAATAAGATAAAACACAAACGTCTCATAGGTTATAGCGTAATAAGTGAATACCAGGCATAGCATCGACCAGATCTCCGCAGACAATAAAGAACCGCGGCTTCGGAGACATCTGATTCGCTGCTTTGATGGCTGTTCGCGTATGATTTATTTCCGCCTCCCACGTTACAGATACTTCATCAACCTAAATGATTCAACACAGGTCAACCTAGACTATTATTCTTGTGGTATTAAAGACGGAAAACGGACGTGTCAAATATAAACGAAGGCATCATCAAGTCAGTTGATAATCAAACACATACCCAAGGCTTTCAGCTTATTTGCGCCCCTATGAGAACGCGACACGAATCTTCAATGGAGTTTACCTAAGCCATTTTCAAAGCCCTCTACATACATATCCTAATGGTTAGAAAGAAAACATCCAGTGTTGTCTAACATTACTCCGTGAAAAAAGCCATTACAAAATGGAGTTATTCTTTATAAGCGTCTCCCTAATACAGTAGTAAATGTTAGACTATCTAATTAGTTAAAAATAAGATTGAGTATGCTGCACATGAACAAAAATTCTGCGAAGTACTTTAAACTAAGCCCAAAAACCTTGACAAGAGGATCAATTTGTGAAAAAAACTAACTAAAAACCTTCCAAGACGAAAGATAAGCTTATGTAGAATTAATTGATTTAACCTAATCAAAAGATCTTTTGATTCTACCTTATTTACAAAAGAATCGATCATCCCAAATTGAGTGTCGGCTGCCTGGATAAAACAAAACGGTCCGACCCATTCTCGTTCTTTTTCTGAAACAAATAACGGTAGACATTTAACCTAAACGAGAAAGAAACCCATTAAGTCTCCAGCATACACAGGTTCACTCAAATATGATTTTTTCCGAAAATCGATTGTAAGCTTCCAACTCTTCAGATTTTTACAGTTGGTATTTGATGAAAAATACATCAGTTACTTTACAGGAGAACAATGGCCGCCATTCGATAAGGGAGCTTGTGCTTAGTGATACTTATTTTAAAGTCAATACTTAGAGCTTGCAACGAGTAACTCAAACACATAGAAGCGTGTCCCATAGCTGCACTGTTCATCACTTAATCACCGTGGCACGCCATTGTCAAAAGAGATTACGACAGAACGTACTTAAATCTGTTAGCTAATGACTAGCAATAGTTCGCAGCTCATTGACAAACTTGAAGTTACTGATATGTTGGCTCGACATAAGAACACAGATATCGAACGCATTCATACGCGTCTTCTTGCCTTCGAACCAAACGAATACTCTTGACAAAGTCATTGGAACGAGACTCGTATACGCGGCAATGTATAACTAAAATACACTACAAATAACAGTAAATATAGCCTACACTCGCCATTTTTTTTATTGACTACTGGCATCATTATAATTGAAGTACGTTTTATGGCCGTGTGCTATCTTGCCTAAAGTATATTCACTTTCCCATCGTTCACCTTGAGATGAGGTGTACAATCCCCTAGAATACCTGCATGGATTTACTACGTATGATTTGATCGATACCATCATGGTACTGTTACTGATTATTCAATTAAATTATTGAATGTATCCGTGTTGAACAAAGGATTGCTCCTCGTAACCATCGCTGATGGATGGCCGCCATTAAATACAGCTGGCTTTAATGATGCTACGACTACGTAGCCTCTTCTTACGACAACCAAACGTCAATACCTGCAACTACACTATGTTTAAGAAAATCAGCTCCTTTGCATTCGTACCTTCCATACACTTGTTGTTATAGCCAGTGATAGCTTTATACGAGTCCTATCTGGGCGCGCTTTTTTCAAGTGGTAAATATAGACTCTACTGGAGTATATTTTTATCCTGGACTCCTAGTGCCCGCTAAAAGGGTTACGATACGACCTGTGTAATATATAGTTAATATACCCTTATATGTGCGTTCATGGCATATCATTTTTCAAGAGTTTAGTTGGGCTGAGTATTTTCACTTCAGCCTGCCCACACAATGTGATCAGATAGAGAAATAGTGTTCGAATTAAAACGGAAGTTTTTCTGATGAAGGCAGAAAAACTGGTTCGACAAGAAACGAAACTTCGGATAGTATATAGCTATAACATGAAAGCTATGCCTGCAAAGGATCACTAATAACCTTTTCTGGTGAGAATGATAAATTTGCGTAGATTTTCTAAGCATCGTTATTGCCCAAAACAGTAATCTATCTAATGGAATGGAAGAGTATTAGCCAAGACACTGGATTCTAGAGACGCATAACAAACACACTGATGTTGGCTCAAATCGAAATACATGATAGTTATTGTAAAAATACTCAACTATAGAATCGTACCTACCACGATCGTATGGGCCTATTCGACCTATGATCGCCACAGCTCTATAAGTAGCTTCAGTTGGTGAAGAGGCGTTATATGACATGCTTTTTTCTTTAACAATAGCGTTTTTACCCTGGTGTAGATTTCTGAATCGAATAAAGGTTCTACTATCGCCGACATATTGCATAACCGCTACGCCAACAATTCGTGCATCAATATTCGTTGATACTTATTTAACAAAAGGAACGTTTTATTATGCTTCTGCTATACTTTATATTGTAACGTTTGTAAGCTATAGTGTCACACTGGCGGCCTAGCAGACCAAGTTTCTACATGTAGATAACGACGTCGAGCCCTTTTGCTTTTGACATATTCTCGTGAAAAAGCGCTTATGGGAACGTTCAATTATCGAGACAATATTTCATGCTAAAAAATGTCCGACACTAGCAGCTGGTGATCTAACTAAACTGCTTTTATTAGACAAAAAAACAACTGCATTGAAGTGGTCGTAATAAGTGATTGTTAAAAATTAAGGAAAAAAACAAGCAACCTGTGTGAGCCAACGAAAACAATCATAAGCATTTTTATAAAACAATAATAATATATGAAACGAACGAAAGCTTTTAGTGTGCTATATTTGTATGGATACATATCGTTAAAGAACTTCAAAGCTAACCTTCATCAAAGGCCAACGCTTTCCGGTCCTTTGTTCGCAGTGGCACCGATTCCATGGCTGTCCAAAATGCTGATCGTGTTTTATCGGTTTGGAAAAGGGGCACTTTTACTAAGAAACATAAGTAGATTATAACGATCTGCTTTACAATATATAGTACAACTCTACTAGTATAGGTCACGCAATTAAATTCATTTTTTCAATTATAGTACTTCAGCAGTAGCACAGCCTAGACCGATCTAGGATTTATAAGGATATAAAGGCTCAAAGGCCGCATAGTAAAGCAATAAAGGTTCTGAATAGGCGTGTGGCTTTACCAAGCCGCTTAAAAATACGCTTGTAATTGTCTCTCTCACCATTAGCTTGTATTGGATATGACTGCACGCTTTCCACGACGATAGATACCGCAATTGAACAAGGATCCGCAGCATTCAGCCGGCGTTTAGCTTAATAGATGTGTAGCGGTGGACAGCCCCAGCCAATACTTATATAATGTTCGACAGATCTTCACAGGGCAGGGTGAGTCCAACAACGGCGGATGAAGCGCGCGCTGCTTGCTCTTTAATATGGAGAGTTATCTGATTGGTGCGTCCAACAACGCCGGCAGGAGTAACCAGCCTCGAAATAGCTTATATGTTAATTATAAAAGTTGACCTCGGTCCAGTACTTTTGGCTGATCGAGAGAGTTGGCATATTCTTCGTTGCAGCTAGACAGGCAGACGGATATCTCTAGTGTTTGGCTCACTTGCTTTGTGGTAAGAATTCATTAAGCTTGTTCACTTTAATAGCCCAAAGGAAACGTTTTGTTATCTCGAAAGCGTGTCTTTGCAGTCTAAGAAAATAGAAATGGTTAGAGACTTTATTGGAAAATTTTCCCTTTTAGATTATTTTTACCCATTTTTTGTTCTTTCTCTAATAAACATTTCAGGTATTTTGCAATTCTGTTCTTAAAGTGATTGTGTTGTCTATTTTCGAATATTGTTTCCCATTTTTAGATGCCTGTCAGCCAATACTCATCGCAGCATTAAATCGAAGATAAGAGCCGAAAGCTACTACGTTGAATTGCGTGATTGTTCACATGAAATTTTCTTAAGAACGCGCCACGGACAATACGAGTACAGTTGAGCGACTAAATGAGATAAATGCAAGAAACAGCGTTGTACCTTTGTGTGTGTAAACCTGCATACTGCATGAATGGGAAAAAGGAGATGATCAAAAACTAAAAATCCTTGCTAAGCATATTCAACAGTGACATTTCTCCATATGAATTTTTCATTAATTCTAAATATCGACAAGGGACCATTTGCGTCCTGTTTTCTCGTTCCAATTGACAAATGGCTGGTAAAAGCGTTTCCTGAACTCCGACGCGTAACCAGCTGTTAGGTTTTCATATGTGGAATATCTTGCTGGCTGAGTATACTTGCAGTGAATAGTTAGAAGAAAAATGGGCGTTGGCGTGCATTTGTTATTTTAATTAATTTATTACTGATACAAGTAGTCTATGAGCAGATAAACCGAATTGCTTTGGTAGCGGTACGAGTGACACTCGCCAGAAAAATGCAATGTGGCCGAGAAAATTTCTAACCAACCCAAACTCTATGAACGTTTTACGTTTTAAGGTCAAACGTAGGGTTCCGTTACTGATGCAGTTAATAAATAATGGCACTTACATAGTTTAGTCAGTATATATTATATATACAGGGCATTTATTATTGAAATACTTATATGAGGTAATTCTATTCCAGATCCCTTCAGCTCTTTCCTCGATGGTCTTTGAACAGCTACAAAAACCTTAAGTGCTGCAGTGAGTACGAAGCCGCTACCTCCCCAGTGTCACAGAATACAATCGTTTGTTAGACGATCGTAGAATGTATCATATTGGATACATTTTAAGCTTGAGTATGACTTCGTTGCGTTTTACGTGAGATCGGGATGTGTTGAACGGAAGCCGAGTTGCAATGACCTCGGCTAGAGCTCATTACAATTTGGATGAGGCAGCGGAAGTCTGTAAGCTATCGTTTGAGGGCATAGGGTTTTTTGTCGCATTGACTGCTGTGCTATTTTCAGGCAAAAACGATCCTGGCGTCCGTTGCGTTTGGAGAGCAACACTTCCGGTCGAGGTGTTGGTGAGTATGAGACTCGAGATTGCTACCATTTCGGATGTCGGTTTGTGAAAAAATTGGCCTACCGTTTGGGTCATATCAGATCTTTCAAAGGGAATAATGGAGCTATTTGGTATTTTCTTTGACGCCCCTCTCGTTGTAGGCAAAGTACTTTCAGGCAATGGGACCTCACATTGGTTGCCTGCATCCTTACCCGCGCACCGTTTCCAGTTAACTAGGAGGCGGTCCATATTTGCTAGAGGTTTTTCGACAAATAAGAACAGTACCACCGCGAGAACAAAGCTCTGCGCTAAGATTCCTAAAACACCCTGAGACTGCAGAAGCAAAAACGAAAAATAACCACAACGCAAAACGCACAACATGATAACGGTTATTTAGTTAGATGTCATTGTTATATTCGCTAGTAGAGAGATGCTTCTACAAAAACGTATTACTGCTTTAGCAAACAGTGCGTTAATTTTACGTAAAATCGCCCTATCACCATCGTAGACTTCTCGCCTTTAAAGTACATATCAGCGAAGAGCAACCTTTTCATTCATAGTAATGATCGACAATATTATACCAACCAGTGAAAATAGATTGTATTGAAGGGAAGCACTTTTTAGGTTTGCGTAGCCAAAGGATCCGAGAGGAAAGTGAACTAGGTAAACTCCATAGCTAAGCTTTCCGAGAACGAAAAATACTGGGTGGCACAGGAATCGGCGGAGCGGTTCTGAAAATATCGACACCAAACAAAATTCCGAATATATTTTATTATAAAAATGAATAAGACGCGCACAGTCGCTTACTCAGTGCGTTCATGAACTTGAAATTATCTATATTCGTTTAAATACGTTTATTTAAATATAGGTGTAGAATAGATATTCAATTACGTGTAGCTAGTTTTTCAAAAAGTAATGGTGATGTCTTACTTTCCTAATTTTGCCTTTACTGGTACTCGAATCTTGAGAACATACGAAATCTTTCTTTGAATTTAGCTTCAAAAATCAATGTGTTACATGGGGGAAAATAGCGCCCTTGATACTCTTTATTTGTTTCGCGCTGGGGTAAAAAGCTACCAAAACACTTCAGGATAGGGGTGAGGTGTACGACGTGGTTTCTGCAGCTAAGGGTACCATCTAAAAATGACTGCTTTGTTTAAATATGAAATTTTCAATCTAAAAAACGTTTTTCATTGGGTTTTTTTTCGAACTCGACAATGACCACCTCAAGGCGCTTTCTAAAAAAATAGTTACTGTATTGACCCGCATCTCCGATAAAATTCTCACGGCATATGGAAAAATTCCCCGAGCCGCTTCCGCAGGTTCTTGACATTGGCGACAACTTTTTTACTTCTTAGCAGATTTACTTCTTTTTCCGCCGACATTTCTATCTTTGGAACTAAAAACATCGTTTCCTGACATGGATAGAGCGATAACAAGGATAGTATAAAGCAATAGAAAATGTTCCTCGAAAGCGTATAACACTTGATCATTAGCAAACAAACATTTGAAAGGCAATACCAGAGACGAAAACTGAAATTGATCTCCGAATAACCTAATCCACTTCATCATGTCAGTAATGGATATCGTATTATTTATGCAGTATAAATTTCTGAGCTTGATGTTGTGGTTTACGGATGCCCTGTGAGCCATTCGTCCTACCAGCAAGGTACAAGGAGCATGTACAGAGGATCCAGAAGTAGATGATTGCGTGCAGAGGTCGGGAAATTCCAGCGTACAATGACATCCAAACCTATAGACGGGACAAAGTTTAGTACAAGGTTGCAATTTTCAAGAATTTCTATTACAAAGATTATACTGACATTTATACAGAATTATTTCGAAACAGTAACTATAGGTAGCTTACCCCCGCTGGTGAGAACACCTGGATCGACGAGTACGTGATGAATACAGTCTGAATCAAGAAGAGAACTACCGATAGCGTCCACATGAGGTACTTGGCGAACTAAAAATGCAAGTTTAGAATTTTCTCCTAATATTTACAGACAAATCAGTCCGTGTAACAATCCATATGGCATGCAATCGGAAGAATTGCTGTTAGTGTATCAGTTCATACTAGTAGAAGCCATAACCTGTCATTTGAACACCTAGTTACGAGTCCATACATGGACGCAACCTGATGTTAATCGAAACAGATTTTTTTCTTATTTTCGACACAGAAATATTTACGTTTTATCTGTCTGCCTATAACAGGGTACAAAAGACACACCCGGTTCGTATTATATATATATACCGTTTCAGTTACGTTCGAACTCTGAGTTTTGCATTTATCCCTAACGTAAGCTGAATAATGATATCGTTTACATTGGGCCTTTCCTATACAGAAACGCTTACCATGGTAAGTTTGGGTGGTTTGTCTTTGAGCCTCTCCACAAGGGCAGCACATAACATACCCATCACATAGGCAGCTACTTGGGTGTGGGGCTTTGTGTATAGATCCAAGGCTTTGCCAGTCGCAAAGTAACGCCTAATCGCACGCATGGAGCAACATTAGTAGGTGAATGACGGTTATCAAGATCTCTGCTACAGGGAACTCCGGTAAATATAGGGCATACAAGGGTAGCATAAGGGAGAGATTTGATACACTCGAGGTAAGGGTGTTACACGCTAATTAGTGTTGTTATGCGCAATACTACAGAAATATGCTATACACGGTTATCAATCAGATGCACGCTATCTTATAAACCGATCCATTTTGCACGAGAAAACACCTGTATGTGAAGTATATAAAAACGTTTTTAGATACCGTTTCCTGTTCCTTAGGGGTTCTTTAATGCTTAAGCAAGGGTAATTGTCAGGGCAGGATTTGCGAAAAATGTTGTTCAAAATTAATGGAATATATAGATATCTATAACTGAACAGTGCTACGATACTGAAGGAAATTATTTTCGAAGAAACTGCGCCTATATATACATATATATATATATATATATATATATATATATATATATATATATATATATGCTTAGAGCATCGGTTTTCAATCAGTTGTATGTGTCACTAGTTGATTTAAGAAAAAGGGGTCGAAATCATATCGTCATTGCCCACAATTAGTTCTTTCCAAACAGATCACTTACTTGCCTTCGAGGTCAGCTCTAGCGACAACACCTGCGGCACCCGCAAAAAATGTCTCCAAAGCGACGAGGAGCGACGTAATCAACACCAAGGCGACGCTAAGGAACGTCGCATGTCGAGCTTGTCTGTAATACTCAGGATCATCAATTATGTTGTAATATCAGAAGTATCAATTATGTAAAGCCATGGAAAAACGGGTCTCGATAACCGAAGCGAGACTGCTTATTACTCTGAACTACCATTTATACCGGGCAAATTTTTATCCATATTTCCTACTGCATGTTTACACGAAGATATTGGTCCTGTAGAGCAATTGGCTTAGATAGCTGTAGTACCTTCTGTAGAAGATGGACAACGCTACAACGAATGGATAGATCTTTAGATCGGTAGCGATATACCAAAGATGAGTAAGGCACTGTTCACGAAAAAGGTCGATGTAATTATTTGCAAGACAGGGTAAGAGGTACCATTCACTCGAGCAGGCTCCGACGTTACTTGAATAGAAGCCTTCTCGAGGACTCGCCGTCCGGATTAGCTGCAATGAAGATTTATGACATAACAAAAATCGACAATCGTTCACTTGGCGTAAGTTCTGCTTTTAGTTAATGAAAAACACATTTTCTTAAGACAAGGATACATATAGATTTAGTTCATACCAAGGGATACAAAAGTGTTGTCAAGAGCACAACTAGTGCTGGCACAACTAGCTTGATATATCTTCTGACGAAGCTGATGATAACGAATCTCCAGTTTTGATCGGCGGCAAAACGCGTTGTGCTTACGTGAACCAGGTAGCCACTGAAAGATAGATTTTATGAATGACGATGAGTTCGTAAAACAACGTCTGCGTCTTTGACGACTGTGTCCCTTCTTCCCTAGACACACCATTCTGGGTCGACAGGCTGCAAATAGGCAAGATGGGCAAGATACAGTTTCAAATAACGGTTTCAAATAAACGTATCACCCACCAACCCGTCAAAACTCGTGCCACCATCGTTTACTTTTCCTATGTCTATATAGGTCTCAGTTTTTGTCTTCCTAAAAGACCTATATATGATTTTCGATCTCTAAGAGTGTGAAAATACCTGATAAAGAAGAAACCGACAACGGCTAGGTTGATGTTTGAGAAGATCTGGAACCAAAGTGAACGGCTGACAACGGTGAAGAACTCTCCGGGGTTTCCTTGAATTCGAATACAAAGCGAGTTTTGTACGATAACTTTCCGACGACAAATTCAGCCATGCCATTGATACGGCGAAAACGTATCGCCTTTTGATGAACTCGCAACCGCTCAGCTTAATGATCATTAGTTAATATGAGTGTTGTATGTACAGTGCATGAGCTAAAGATTTCTCCCATCCGACGGTCGTTCTAATTTCATTACATTTTACGGCAGTTACACAATTAAGTATTTTCTATTTGAGTCCTTTGGAAAGACAGATTTAAGAATGATAGTAACTAACGAAATATCTCCATGGATAGGATAGGTTTTATTATACTCACGTGTGAATTCTGGTGACGGGAAAATGATGAGGTGCCCCGAGGCAATCCACAGACACAAAAGCAGTTTTAAGCCATTCAGGTAACCTGTACGGTGAGTATTATCGTCGCTTGAAAGGAGACTTGACCAAGCCGTCCACAGCGAAAAACAACGTATTAGACGACCTAAAACAAGCAGCAGGGAATCAACAGAGGAAATAAGCTACCTTGACGTGCTGCAATGCAGTATGACAGGCTCAATCGTGCCTCTGAGGGCGGCAGCAGAAGATAACGGGTTGTGCGTGCAATTAGGGCAAGGGACGTTTGGATTACCTCACATTAACCCTTAGACCCGCTTCATAATATACGTTTATGAAAACTAAGTATATAGTAAAGCTATTATTTAGAGCCAATTTCTTGGTATAATGTTTCTATCCTGTCGACGTTAAAATATTATTCCGGACAAATGTTCGTCAGTGCCAAATAGCCGCTCGTGTCAAGCTTAATATTTGTGTCCTAATTTACTTATTCTGAGCAGAATTTCGTCAGACATACCTGGGTAGGTTTTTTTGAAGGTTGGCTGACTCGAGTCGACAAAGGTCCCGACGAACGATAGGCACGCAATAAAGCAAAGTATGAGGCTGAAAATTCATTCACTTGATCATTTTATTGTAAAAATGATGTCGCTTTCTTCCGCTATTTTAAGACATGGTCTGCGCTGAATTCTTCTCAGAATCCTAAGTGAGTGAGAGCATTCACTTTTTTTTAATGCACGTCATTGGGCGTGTCTTAACGTACCCTGTATATATTTACAAAACTAGTTAAATACGTGTTATCTGCAATAATTCAATACCCCCTCAAACAATTTAATTTGAATGAAGATATCATTGGCATATATAATAAGGGGGCCAATTACTTCTCTGCAGGCATTGTTGTCCTAATTATAATGCACGCGAATCGTCCTGCCAGTAAAATTTGTTTTCTAGGTGAGCTTGCTGTCATAGAAATATATGACTTTATATCAAATGTATTAGCTGTACATTGAACTGTACATGGACACGAATTGTTAATTGTTTCCATTTGTCGCTTGAGACTGAGTTTTTTTTTTGTATTGCTGGGCGTCACGTTTCAGAAAGGATCGTATACTACAAAAATCGCTTGATAGCAAAATAACTCACATGATAACAATTTGTTGGTGCTCGACTGGACCGCGATCGGCATTTTGGCACGAGCTCACCTCGGCCCAACCCCCGTACATCGAAGTCACTGAAAGAATAACGCTGCTAAAAACTTTGAGCATCACTTAATCTCTAGACGGTACTCGGCTAGTGGGTTCTGTTGACCGATCGCATCGACTAGGATTCAGTTAGCTCTAGCTATTTTAGTAGACTCTAAGGCCAATGCTAACAGGACATGCAACTCTTTTTTAACTAGGTTCACCTGAACAGTTAGTTTCACGATTACTCTAATGTACCTACTTAAAGCTCTAAGCTGTCATGTGTAGAACGTAGGAGTTAAAGCTCTTGCTGCGATATGCTTCTATCGTGCAACTCCAGCCAGGCCTGCCTAATTTAAAAGAAAAAAACCTTCAAGTGGGACTTACGTGTGTCGCTGGCGATTTGAAGGTCTGCTTGAGCACATTCTCTAGGAATGCACAAAGAGATGGTTAAACCGGTGTATATACCTTTAATTACATCGGGAATGTCCTGGACGTTCAAACCTGATGTGTGCTAGAAGAACGCAAAAAGATCTTACTAGTCGTGGATGTGGAAGATGTATAAAAGCAGCATTTTAGATGATTTAAAAAAAACGTCATCGTTCTTAGATTTTGTTAAAAATCTATGTGTGTGTGTATGGATAATTATACCGAATGGTTGTTTTTAAGAACAGTGTACAAAATGAATATGGTGAGAATAAAATTAAATAGGGTATTTTACTTGCGGAAGCGGTTATGCATGCAACTGAAAATGTTTCTTCTAACGGAAGAGAATGCGTTAGGTAAACAACAGCTTACGCCGTCCGATTATTAAGTTTTATGAAATTTTCTTCATATTCTGTACTCACATATATTTCATTTGTAAGATCATCATAGAAGCTGTTGTTTGACTCAAGGGCCACTTTTAATTTGCAGTAATGCAACTCTTGTCTCTCTTCCGAATTTTCATCTGTAACATTGAAATCAAGCGTTTAGTTAATGGAAGCCTGCTTTTGCGACCGACTGATTTACTTATCATACACTAGCGCCATAACTTGTCTTATTTTGTTTCTTTAATATTCCAATACCATTGTCCGGCAGGCGAGAAGTATATTAATTCGTTATATGTGAACATGTGTCGCATTGCGACAAGCGTTAGAACGATACATTTGTCGGACTTCGAAATCGGCAGAATCCATACAGAGTTGCCGGAATATGAAAAACTGCCTCGACGGTACAGATTTACACCTTGGTACCTTAAAACAGTAGATCGTGAAAGCCCGTTTATGTGGAACATGCTGACGACACCAGCGAATAGAACAGGACGTAATACTCGAGAAAACGATGGTAGGTAGCTATGGAGATTCCGCTCCCATCAAAAGATAGACACATCGTGTCCAGAAAGCACCTGTGTGATCCAGTCGTATAATTTATATGTATATTTAATGTAATGGGTCGTGCCTGCGCAGCTGTGAACTGTCTTCTCACCTGGGACGACATAAGCCCATAGGCACTGCTCGAGACTACCGTGTGCCTGTGTTTGTCCCAAGAAAAAGTTGTCAGGTACCACACCGCTTGACAACAACACTGCAACAAATTAGAACTTTACTACGTGTGAATCACGACTGAACGAAGTAGAGTTGACACCTTAGAAATATGTAATATTTTATTATTTGTGGTAAGAAAACAAATCTCGCTACACAAAAATTTAGTAAAATTTTTGGATAGTAGTTGAGAAAATGAAAAATGTCAGTGGAAATCACCGCCGTTTACGATCGCATCTGATCGGCCATCTTGTGCTTATTGAGAAGCTATCTACCATATAGAAATACTCTTATAATTAACAGAGCTGACGAATTAGCATAATAAGCATAATAAAAACACTCACTTTTGGCCGCCCACATTTTGCCTGTTTGTAGAGCCCTACCAGTTCGCAATAAAGCGGTTGTACATTCTGCTGACAAGTCCTCATTATACAGAAGTGCTTCAGCTGTCAAAAACCTTTATTAGTAACAGATGTGAAGCAGTCAAAGGTCCAATATATCTGGCAAAGTCTAAGTCAAACATTCAGTGTAGATAACTCGCAACTAACCTTAATAAGTTAACTGTCCAAATAGTTAGATAATAACAACTTGACTTGCTCAAAAGGATAATGTAAATGTATGTTTATGCTCTGAGGACAGAGAGATGGACTATACACAAGCCTATATCGATACTACTAATGCATACGATTGGTACTCAAATACCTAAATCACTTACCTATTGGCATGAGCTGTTTTCGAGCTCCTGCAGTCAAACTTTTGAGATCCTCTGCAAGATTACGTTGAGATCCGGTGTCTATAGTGCCGATGGTGGATAGCTCGAGTCCTGTCACTACCATGCAAATTGCATGTAAAATTGCCAGAAAAATTACGGTCCGCCATATCGGGCAACATCGTGACGGTCGGTTGGCCTGTTTGCCCATAAAGAAAGACAAAGCTATCTGAGCGTTTGTCAGATTCAAAGGCATTTTAGTTTAGCTTACTTATATTCGATGTGATTTACAGACACAGAAAACAAAAAGTTTTATGTATGTATGTTCTACTATACTCGTAATTATGACTCAGTAATATTAATAATTATAGAGCAAAGTTCTTACTGATTAGCCCATAGTACTACAGAACAACTTTATAAAGGTCCGACGTTTCGAGTTTTACGTTCGGCATCGCCTTAAGGCATTCTGTCGTACGGCTGGCACGAAAATTTTTAATTCGGATATACCAAAATGTGGGGTGTGCATACAGGCATAGAGGGGTGGAGGCAGGGAGGAAGAATAGGCTCACATTTGTAAGTTTAAAGTCTACGAGATAGCATGCTTACGTTTGAAGCGAATTTGGGAGATTTGAGCTTTAACCAAGGATCGAAACTGCCGTAACATGGATGTAAGGTTCATTCAGAATCGTTTGCAAGAACGCTTGATTGTCGAACTCTAGTAGAGGACTAGTATTACTCTTCTTCTAACTACCCCAACTAGTTGCCTTTAATAAATAATATTTGTGCTTGCTCATCTAAGTTGTGTAGCGCTTGTTTTCTTTAGCAATAAATTTATCTAGTCATCTTTGCTAATCCAAACCGCTGATATGATTGAGCGAAGTGGGCGTGCCATTGTAAATGACATGTGGTCAGATACAGCGGAAGCGGTATACAGCGTTCCTTTTGTCAATGTACATTGATTTGGGATTCTTCATAACTGACTTAACAATAAACTCGTTCAAGTTTCGCAACGGCTTAGACCTCCGGCTAAAAAGACCGAGAGGATCGGTGGTTCGATGAAAAACCTAGATAACCGTTTTTGGATAGATAGGAGACGACACGTAAAGTTGTTTCTCCGTGTATTGTTTTTACTACACAGGCACATGCCCACTTGAGCAACTCCTCCTATGTAAAACGCAAACAAAACTGGATGATTTAAAACAATTACATACATACGCACAAGATTTTCGAGGAATTGAAAGCGTTCCATGGTTAATATGGCAAAATTTTTTTTTGCGCTTTTCTGGATATGCAATAATTATCTCGTTATGTGGTAAATATACAGTCCTTTAGATGTTGAACTTTCTCAGTTCTTTTTTCCTCTACCTTTTCATTATGATAAAGGTAAAAACAATAATACAATGATGATAATCATAATAACAACTGCCCCAAATAAGAGCCAGTGGCGCGTGTGTTAAGCTAATGCTCGTTGCTTTAGAAAATATATCTCCTAGAAATTCATCAAAGTTCAACTACATGGAAATAGGATGGAAATAACTATTTCAGATAGATTAAAAGCGCACAGATTATTGTTAGCTGAAGTAAGTTTTGCTGTACGTTCAACAAAGAACTATGGGAAGACCTAAATTCTATTTAGTTCTTTGGTGAAAAGATTACAGATAGAAATACCTAATATAAAAAATATTATAACATTCGCCGATTGCTGCCAAATAAAGAGCCTCATAAAATAACGAAATTCTAACTTACAGTGATCGCTATGGTTTATAAAAGTGTTCAGATCCGAAGGTTAACTCGGAAATCCTGTATAGATCCATTGGACTGAGTGTCGACGACAAAAAATTATTATCTTAGTTTATGTGGATGTCCACTATTATAGAGGCTGGAAGATTATGTTATGAACGAACGACAATGTGCTCTAAACTTTCAGTGGCGTAAATTTCACTCTTCGTTTTGCGGCCGGCACATAGCGCAGCCGGCACTAAAACGGTCAGCAGCTCTGTCAAACGTCATCCTCTGAGGCACTGAGCGACTGTCCTAACCAAGGACCTGATAACCCTTACTGAACAGCCGTTACTGTTTAACGATGCTAACATACTAGTTACCAGGTTCCGCCTAGCCGTACATGGGCAAAAAATACACAGATCACCGGACAATCATGTGACGAAACCATGGGGAACATTTTCCTGGGGGGTCTCCTCGTGCATAATTCGAACACTGCTTAATCCGACATCGTATGTCCAATATTATTCATGCGGCTGTGATGCCATCTCAACTCATCCACATACAATGTCTTGAGCTTCATTGAAGTGCCACTTAATGGTTTCGCTTGATTCGCGCACAGCTCAATACAGTGATGAAACGGAAAAAAGATACGAATCAGGACAAGATGGAGAGAAGGGCAGGCAAAAAAAGACATTGTGTCATCTACTACAAGCCACTTTGCCCTGTTGGCAGTCACTTGTGCTAGTATTACGGAAAAACCCAGTCTAGAATGGTTGTTTTATCATCCGGACTGAATTGCTGTTGTAGATAAGTAATGATACCGTATCGGATCCCGGTCTGCGACACACGGCTGGCATAATGGTAGATGCTTATTTAATGTAAACGAACTAATGCGTTTCCATTTTGTTATTACGTGCACGGCGTATAATGTAAATCTCCGTGTTCAGAAACAATCCAGCGCTTCAATTCCGATAGAAAAATTCTATTCTTCTTTCATCAAACGATTTCTATACTACTCTATTGAAGTTCGTGTTATCGTTAGAGCTATTCATGAGTAGTTATACCGGCTTGATCTGGTGAATTATGTTATGCAACTCAAATCAGTGTTATCGCCTGAAAAGATTTATCGAAAAACTAATCTGTACAGCTGTAAATAAGGATAACTCAGCAATTTCCTTTGATCTTTTGAACCGTTTAGGGCTTTCGATTGTGCTAAGTTTGGCGTACCTGTGATATTTATCATAGAATACTGGTACAGTTTCTTAAGAAAGACTGCTGGAAATTTATCGCAGTCGAATCCACTAGGTGGCGCTACCTGTCATTGAGGTGGCACAAAAAAATTCATCAAGGCACTTGCTTGCCCCCCTCAGAAGTGTTCTCACTAAACCACACTTGTACAAATGATAGAGCCTAAGAGCTAAAAGTCCTATTCTCATTACAAACAGCTAATCGTTTGTTTAAGCAGCACAATCATAAAAAATACTAATGTTTTATTCATTTATGAGCGCTCTAATTTTCTGCTATGCTGCATAGTTCCCCCTCTTTCCAGATCAAGCGAAATTTCGGCAAGGTTTTTTCAATTTACGAATTGCTAGTTTGTTTACGCAAGAGATCAGTTTGGAAATTGACAATGTTAACTTAGCAATAAGTTTCCTCAAGTGCTTTGCTTAGTAAACAAGTTATCTATATATTATTGAATGATATAATAGTCTGTCTGATAGGATGCACCAGTCAGATGCACAATAGTACGTTAAGGTACTGAATTAATAAGAGTCTGTAACAGTTTGTCTACATTATTCACCACTGTTGTATACTACGTCTATGCGATGTCCACTTTTAGTTACACCGCCTTTACGAAAAATCGCTTCGAGCTCTCTGAGCTGCTAATGGCACAACTTGGATAGAGCTACTTTGAACCAAATTAGAACCACGAAATGAAGATGGTTATTTAATGAAGTGAAACCTATAGTCCTCATTATAGTTTTTGTGTGTGTGTGTGTTTTTTTCTTTTCTCTACTTAGAATAACTCATAAAGAGCTTTTCGCTCTTTAAAGTGTAGAGAATACAATTGCACAAGTATAGATACACTTGAATACGCCCACGCCCGAAAAAGCAACGAGTCGTACAGACTCTGATAGGACATGTTACAATTAGAGCGTTATTAGCCCTTACACAAACGCACTAACTCTTCCAGCTAGACGGTACAACCCGAAATTATAGGCAGATGAACGATTCTTTTGTGAACGTTACAGGCTAATTGCACGGAAACAAACTAACTTTTGCGTAGACACAATGCGACGATAAGTACCTAAGCTCCGTGCCGGGACATGCGACAAACCCACTAACATGCACGCCCACAAATTCATTCACACATACACTCACTACTACACGGACATTACTATAACGCAACGGGTTGCTATTTTCACCGATTGTTCTTATGGATATATATCTGAATATGACGGTATACGTAAAAGAAAAAAGAGCAATTAGCTGAGATTTTACATCTCTCGATGTCGGGAAAATTTCTCAGGAAGAGGTAACGTACCATCGTCGAGTGGTCCTTAGTAACTGGCAAGCAGGAAGATGGCGACTCAGATATATGTCAAGTCTTTACTGTTGTTGTGCTAATAACAGTAGTTCCTATGACTGCGGCGTCTCTGCTTTGCTGATACTGCTGGCGATATAGTGCGTCATGAACGGCGACGACGCGTGTAGCTGGTAACGAAAGCAGTGCAAACAACAAATAGTCAGTGTTTCCAGTTTATCAATACAGTCGTGGCATTAATAATTGTATTAGAAAAAGTCGTTCCTGCAGCTGCTGTTGTTGTCGTAGTAGCAGTAACATCAATATAACAAAGACACTGATCGATTCGGATGCCGTTGCGCGAAACGCCGTGTGAGCCACGGCACCTGACTATTACGGAACGGTGTGACGTCCCGCTGTTCCACGTTGTCAGGCGCTTGTGAGCGCCTTGAGTTAGACGAACGGCAACATGGTCCCTTCTGATATTGGCTATTGGGCGCGTCTTCCTTCACCACCAACAATGGTATTGGTGCTTACGAACCGTCGTTCGGGCTCTGGCCCAGACCCTTACCCGTCGCAGTGGCCGTATGATGATAGCTACGGGCTGGGTACGTATGGTAGACAACAGCGTTCCGGTGGGTCGCCGTTGGGGTGCTGGTCGAAGCGGGGTCAACAGCAGGCCCCACTTCACAGAGCGAGGCGAAAATGCAGCACACACACAGGGCCATATGCACCTCCTTGCAGCGATGGCCTTCCTCAACTGCCACTAATACGAATTGTGCTATGACTACAACAACGTTATTAGCTACGATGTAGAACTAGAGCACCGCCTAAATGAAACGAAAGAACAAAGTTTTTTTCTTTGTCATTGACATTTAGCCGCTTACCCCAGAGCGTGCTCTGAGCTAACGTGTCTACTTTTCCCGCAGAACCATGCAATAGGAGCACCGGAGAAATGGCAAGCTTCATCAACGATAGATAACGACCCTGTCGGATAACTAGCTTGGATGGTCATCTATTTTTGTTTTGTAAACGTCCTAGTAAACAGTTTGGTTAGCATGCATCTCGCACGTACAAGATATTTTTTTGACTCTTTCCTATATATACAAAGCGATCACTTAGCAATGGCTTAACAGAGTGTAGAAACATTTCTTTAATGGGAAAGAAAATGTTAATTATTGGGTTAGGCATAAAGAAGTGTATGTGTATGTACTGATCATATGTAGCTCTGTTTTTTAAAGACATTTGACCAAGTGAAAGAGTATAGTAGTAGATACTTTATTGAAGATTTTATTATTGCGCTACTAACTCTCGAACGTTAACGCGATCGTACGTTACACCGTTCTGACGGTTTCCAATTATCTATCGCGTTTTGATTACGAATCGCTTAGATAATGATTATATACTATAGGTGCTTTAAAGTTTAACGAAGATCTAGACGATTTTAATAGCCGTAAAGGTCGTTAGGCCTTGTCTATTCTAGAAGCTCCATGCTTATCAATGTGAAAATTTCTATCTAGCCGCACAATTATAAGAGTAATCTATCGAATGTCCAGGCCTTTTGCCACTTACAGCCATTATCAAACAATATTTCTCTAGAACTATTCTTTCGCACTCTAAATTTATTTATGTTTAAAAGAGAATTTAGCGAAACAAATCGAAAAAAACTGTATCGGTAGAGAAAACGAGGGGTAGTGAAAAAATTCTCCTAATAATATCACTAAAAAATTATACACTTTTCATGTTTTAATTACATACGTGACAATGTCAGACGCTGTTTTACGAAAGATAAAATTTCCTACAGTGGCTAAGAAGGAAGTCTTTTTCTACTTTATGCCAATTACTGACAGCAGTATAAGTCGGTTGGCATCGGAAACCTCTTTATTTCATGGAGTTTATAGTATCGAGGAAGTACCATGAGAGAAAATTTTGGTTCGATTTTTTGGCGATTATTTTAGCAGGACTAAAAACAAATGCGATACAGTGTGATATTTCCTAAAATAAATTTTATGGACACGCGTGTTCTAAAGTCCTTACTGTAGAATTGCACAACATAGTCTTGTTTCTGGAAAAAGAACTACTTTTTAGGTCTTCAGTGCTTCATCTGATTGGACGTTGAAGATCATTTATCTGTGTTTTATATCTAATTATATAATGGATAGCCTATGATGTTATTAAAAGCACATGAACGATTGCCTACATTCAGCTTGAGATTAATATAAACATGACAGACACCAGATAATCGCGATGCAGAAAATAAACATTCGATTAGCATTACGAGACATCCATACATCGCCATTCAGTATCTGTTGGCTTGCTTGTTTGCTGTGACCCTAAGAACCTTGTCGAATTACAAAAAAATCTAAAACATGCGCATTAATAACATTATTTGTATAATTCTTTGTATGCCCCGTAAACGTAACCAATTATAGAGAAGTTCCTCCGTGTTACATGTAAGCATTACTTTGTTAAAAGACTACTTTTGTTCATTAAGTCTTCTTTTTTTTTCTTCCTTTTTTTCAGTTTATGGCGCGACCTCAATAGCAATTCTGTCAAAGAACTATACGACTAGATTTTGCGATCCGCTTTGTTCCATTGCATAGATTATACATTAGTTTTTACAAAATTTATACATATTTTTTTTTTTCGGAATAAAACCATCGGTTGTGTCTACGTTATCAGGAATCTAGTTGTCTCTAGAAGAGCGTTCGTAGGGTATAAATGGATGCAGTAGTCTGCCATTGATATACATAACTTTATCATTATTAATAACATATAGGTTTTCTAGATACAATCACTTCTAGCTAAGTACTTCATTTGCCGATAGAACACAGAATTTGAATTTTATAGATATTTTAATATCGGCCTTCTGCAGTGCCTCATTATTCCATTGGAGAAAAGTCACTGTAGTCGTATTTTTGCGCCATAATATATATATAGTTATTTAACCATTATGTCTAAAGGTCGCTTTTACCGCTGCTTCTACAAAATAACAACCGGTAGATAGATATCATAAAATATAATTGGGGAATTAACTTTATTAAGTTATTTACTGAATTTCATAGGCGTTCCATATGCAGTATCGTCAGGCGATATGGAGCGGCCTAGTACGGTCAATCTTACCATTACCTTTATTGATTTTACAAGATGTAGGTGAGGTTAACACTTGGTAGATACATTGGCGTGTATCAACGCCTATATAGGAACGAAACTCGTATCCAACATATGGACTACACTGACGGCATTGGTTGGTTCCAGAGTGCAATTAGTACTGGATGCAATAGAGTGCGTGTATTAAAAAATCGAACGGGTATGATAACTTTATATGTTGCCATAGGAAGTATTTCGGCTAAAGTTATACTTGTAATAAATTAGGTTATGATTAACTGTATCACCAGTAAGGCCATATCCTGTTTGGGTCCGATCCTGTATTGTTAACTTTCAAAGAAGAGTCAATCCAAACGCTCCTAAAAACACAGAATATCTCTTATCGAACAGCCTCTAAGCTTTGATCAAAATTACCTACTTTAATTTTTACGATTAACTAACATTCGCTACCCTTTAGGTTTATAAATTGTCTAGCTTTTAACGAAAAACTGACACACATGTTTATCCTTATAGAAAGCTTTGCTGAACGTGTAAAAAATAATACTAGTAAACAGCCCTTGATAATAGAATGAAGCTCAGATTATGGAATAGATACTTTTAAACTAAACCTTTCCTCATATTTGTTCATAATTAACAACCTTCCTGTATAAATTATTCGAAGTTTTCTAGAAACAGGAAAGTAGACGTTTTTATTTCTATGTTCATTTCTACGTTTGATCCCGTATATCAAATCTTAGATAACGCTGGACAGAGATAGCTGATGCTGTTACACTTAAGTTGATCGACCACTGTCAGAGGGATTTAGGAAAGCAGACGTAACGGCCCGCTTATTTCGTAAAGAATAGTTGTATGTCCCGATTTCAAAAGGCAGATTACTACGAAGTTCACATTGGTCAGTAGATAACTAGTGGGGTTGCATATCATTGCTGGACATTTGGACCTTTCTAATGCTAGAACAAGAACCTTATTGGCTATCAGGTACGTCTGTTTTACAGGCACCTTTCTAAGGGCATTCAGAGGATCCTGGAGCCGATTATGATTATCCTATTGCCTGTTGTTCTTCCAAACGAGTGTAAAATATTTAACTATCTAAAAACCACACGGAATAATTGAGTTGACGCGTATTGTACATACGGTAAACACCATCATAAACTGCAGAAATGTTGTTTTCATTGATTGTTGTTATTTAATATACCGATCGATATGAGTACATGGACTGAATCAATATAATTTGTAAAAACGAAAAATATAATAATTCCTCCGCTGCTATGGAGTTGGGTTAGCATGTTGCTATTGTGGGCATCATTAATACCATTATGTGTGTATTGGTCGATTTAGCATACCCCCTATCGAATATACATAAGCGCTGATGGTGTCTACGGCTATCTAATTTTATGTATATGTTCGAACTTATATGACTCGCTAGATTATTAAAGCTGTTACAGAGCGATTGCGGGCGTGACGATGGTCACCAGAAAGCTGCGTAGTAAAAATAGCACCAATTGTAACCAGATGGCAACTCATCATCTGCTTTCACTGAGGCCGATATGTCGAACCGATCTGTCAGTATATTTTGACTAGCGGCGTTCGCGTGTCGCCTAACCTGGCACAACCAGCCCTATCATGGCTTGTGGTGGCCGAAGAAACTCAAAAAGGGTGCCGATCTTAATCGGCTGTTAGGCACTATAGTACGGCTATTACCATAGTGTGGTTAAGTCTGTCGGTTGATTTTCTGTACTGCTGGTTGGCAACGCGTGACAAACAACGGAATAATGGCCAGAATTGCAAGAAAGACTGACTGACGAGTGTACTAGTTGCGCGTCCCAACGAATATTATTAGAGAAAAAAAATACAGAGTTTTTGGGGAAAGTCAAACGTGGCCTTGAAAAAGCTTTCCAGCAGTGGCCAGAACGGATCAGGAAACGAGCTACAACGACAGCTTTCACGAGTACTCACAAGGAATACCTTGTATCGATATATAATACAGGTAACCGAAATACAGTTTGGTCGCTCCAAATCCAAGAAGGACAATCGCTTGCTCTTACTTGTGTCTTGTTTTGTTGTTTCTCGTTGGCCGAAAACGATGGATAACACGGGTATCAAGCTGTGCTTTCATGGTGAATGTGGGAAGCGGGATTCGCATATGAATATATGTTGTTTTTTTTTTTGTATGTTTTTTTTTTTCTAGGTAAAAGCTGTACGCGTCCATTTTTTCAACGTTCGTTCTTTTTCAGTTCTTTTGTATATTAAGTTATACTTCATTTTCTCCAATAGTAGTAGTTAAGTTTGTTCGTAATTTTTATCACCGAGCGTTTTCTTTCTACGAGATAGCGGCAAAAATTCATATTTTTAGACTACATTACTATCGGGGTCTAGAAACGTTTTCTAATCAACGCGATACTTTTTCTCAGTTATGCTTTATTATGAAAGTGTCTTAAAATAGTATAGCTTCGAATAG